TAAGTCGGCACGCACCAGTCTTTATTGTCAAGCTGCGCAAAGCACTGCTGTACCATCCGCTTGGACTTTTCCGTGGGCTTCTCCGGAGTTCTTTTACTGGAAGGCATTCGACATCTACTGGCACCGCGCACCGGCACTTTCGAGGGCATCCTTCTACGCGACTCGACATCCTCTCCAGGCTCAGACTGCGACAGAAAATCCATAAACGTTGTTTGTTTATTGAAATAACAAGTGCTACGTGGACGGTTTTCCTTGCCATATTGGCCGTACCTCGATCTTCAATATTCCCGGTTCCGTATTCGTTTCGCTCGCGCTGTCTTTACTTTGTCTGTCCTCCAAGGTATCGTTGACGCTGGATTCTTCTTCCGTGGACTAGAATCATAATTATACTTCAGTCAGAGTGCCCTTTAACCCTTTGAAGCACGGTGGTAAACCACGTTACCACCTCAACTTCTTTACTTCTTGGCCATTTAATTTCTAGTTAATGCATTTAGGTTTTTTTGGATATCTTAGCAATAAAAGAACATAAAAAGAGTTGAATATTCTTTAATATTTATTGTAAAAGTTTTATAAATGCACAAATATGAAAAAAACAGTAATTTTTTCGGAAAAATTCCTTATTGACCAAGTTTTTTAAGATTATTTCTTGAAAACTTTATGCAAAGGGATTTTCGGGGTCGCTCGTTACGAATCTGATGTCAGTTTTTCAGAAAATTAAAAATGGAGGACCCAAAATGACGGATACAAAATACGTGAATTTTTTAAGTTTTCAAGTTTTTCAGCATTTTCGTTAGATTGAGGGACTCGTCACGTCCGCGTCGTTAGCTCTGGGTAGTGCCAAGAACGAGTAAATTCTAAGAAATGATCAAATTTCAATTTTGCATCCGCCATTTCGCGCGCGCTATTTTTTATATTCTATAAGAATTTTCAACTGGAATTTCGATTCCATGAGTCCTAATAGTATCTAAATAATGTTTCTCAGCCTAGTTGAATTATAATTGAATGTTATTCTTTCAAGTTTTAAATTCCGCCATCTTGAATCCGCCATTTGGAATTATGAAAATCTGACAACGGATTCGCAATGAGCGACCCCAAAAGCCCTTGTATACGAAGTTTCACAAAAAATGGTTCAATAGCAAAATGTATGCTTCAAAGGGTTAACAGACTGATCATGAAAGCATGTCTTACCTCCTGAGTGTTAATCTTATTACGGGGATTTTCGACGCTTCTCGCCTTCTCGACGTACTCGATGGCCTCGTGAGAATGGGGCCTCGACGCGATGATAATCGCCGGTGAATCGCCGGTCATGCTGATGTCTATGGGAGGATGGCCAACGGTATCTAACGGTCGAATGGAAGCATCCTCGTCAGGTACTATGGAAGCGATTATCCTTTCCTCGCTGAAATCCCCGGGATCTTCGATCTGGCATCCGAAAGATTGAACGTTTAAGTAGAAGATGCCGTCGAATAAGTTTCTCATTTTCTCTCTAAAAGTCAATCAGCGAATGATCACTGAAAACAGTGAATAGTCAGTGATTTGCAGTTATAAGTGTATTACTGAAAATTGCAGTGGCACACTTATAACTACAAATCAGTGACTATTCACTGTTTTCATTGACAATCCACTGTGATTGGCTTTTAGAGAGTCGAAAAAGTCGTATCGATCTATTTTAACGTGTTCTAAAATGCGCGACGGTCGCGTGTTTTACTTGCATTTATCAATGGCACGCGACGGAAACGTAACTTCATACTCGTACACGTTTTTCTACGATTCGTCGTTTACTGACCAAGTTGCGCGAACCGCAGCGAGAATTCCGCTTGGTCGGCGAGTTGGAGACGGGCGAGTGGTGAGGGCTGTGATTAGGCGTCAGATACAGCGATTCCGATCTCTTGGGACTCACTGCAACCTTCGACTGTAGCGATTCCTTGAACACCTTCGCGCTTTCGTAAGTCCGCTCGTTCGGCAACGTGATGGATCTCCGTCGCGCGCTCGACCTGTCGTCCTCCGGCTGCTCGGGAACGCCGGAGCTGCTCTCCGTGCTTCTGTTGCAATTCTCATCCGCGCCGATTGGCTCCCCGTGATTCGAGTGCCTCGAGATCGTTCCGATTCGACCCGTCGACTTCAGGTCGTCCTCGCTGCTCCATTCCTTCGACGCCTCGTCCACGGTCGGTGCGTTTGTCGTTTCACTCGGATACTCCACTTCATTGGCCTCCAGCGGCGTCTAAAATTGTTCACGGGATTATGATATGTCGAATTGTCACGTTTGAAGAAAGAACCGAAATATCTGATAAAATAATATTATTTGACATCGTATCGTCAGTGAAATATCCTCGAAATTTAAACATCGTACATTTCAATGGCGATCGCATTTTTTCTTCGGACGTAAAGTTTCATATTACAATCACGGAAAGACCGGCTAAGGCAAAAAGAACTAAAATTACAATGTTGCTGTATATAAATAGTAGATATGACAACCGCAGACATAGCTGTCCCAAATATTACTATTTATAATATTGGGGTTGTGCCAACCCTAATTAGACACGTGGTAACCATATCGGTCTCTCCGCGAAGAAATTAAAAGAACTGGCAGCGCAGCTTTTTACAAGTATGCCCGTTAATTGAACGCACGGCTGACTAACTTCGCAACTAATTTCAAGCAGATTCTATGTCGCTTTAATCTAACGTTTAATTACCGTGATATTTAATGTTGGGATATAAATTGTTGCGTCAAGTGACAGACTCCGTTTAAGCTGTCGCTGGGGAAGTAACGACTCCAAATATGCGAAAAAGTCTATTATCAAATTATTCTTCGTCGATGGCGGGCTATCCTGTATATGTAAAGATTGCGATTTGCAAGTTGGAATTGCTCAGCAATTCGATGTCCGCTATCGGAGGAAAGGAGATAGGGAAGTACTGGCAAAAGTAATGATTTCTTACGAAATAGGAGTCGACGTCGTCGCGAGCGTCGCTCTGGTGATTCGTCGTCTGTTGCGTGATAACGTCGAACGCCGGGTCGCCGGCGTCCCGGCTCCGCGGGGTCGACGATCCGCTGTTGTCATTGCCATTGTAATCCCGCAGCGTCGCGTCCTGACCTTCCCCTCGTACAGGCCGATCGTGCCTGGAAACGTCGGACGACGAGCTGCTCGCGCTTTTCGGACGCTCGCGCGCGCCGAAGGAGCGCAGAAACTCTGGGGATTTGCAGAACGTTCAGTGGCATTAAAGGCCGAAAGGCCGAACCAGGCTAGCAATTGCCGACTCGGATTAGATTGGGATTGGCGATTGATGATTGTCCTCTAGCCAATGAGAGCAGTAGCCAGCGATTTAATCGACTCTCATTCAAGACACACTCAAGACAATCACCAATCGTCAATGGTCAAGCATTGTATATTTTTAAGAATTTGTATACACGCGAAGAAGTAATTGTATGCGCAACGTCAATTTCAAATAAAAAGTAATTTGTCACTCACTGATACGGTTCGCAACAGCAAAGTTGTACATCGCTAACCATATATGTTAAATTGTAACAATACAAAAATGTATACGACTATTATAGACTAATTGTGCAAAATCGAAACTATTGTATTAAACATACTTTATATTTTATATTTAAAAAAATAGGTATTTATTAAAACAATTATATATAGAATACTGAAAGTCTTCCTTTTAAATATGAACTCACAAAATTTTATACGTATGGTTTTGTCTCTAACACTTATTCGAATCCACGTTCGAATCATTTGAATAAATAAAATAAAAGCACAGAACAGATGCTTTATTTTGCACAATTAGCAAATAACAAAAATGTAAGACACTTACCTTACGATTTCTCTGCCGTTGCCCGATGCCGCCTAAGCCTGCTCCTCCTCTGAGATTTTCTTGTTGCACTTACACTCACACACTCACTCGCGAAAGTCGATTGCGCGAAATTTCGGACACTCCCGTACGCGATGTAAAATACCGTGACATGCAGTAAGCGACGTTTTTTACTTCCTGCCCGTTCGAGTTGCGAAGAACGACAGAGCGAATTACAGCGCGAACGCCGAAGTCGCACAAATATCTCTCTCTTCCCGAAAATGGAACAGATTACACGAAATCGATAGATAGTTAAAAGCGGTGCGTAAACGAAATGTAACCGCGACAACGTACCACGGTTTACTTTCATATTTTAGATGAGTTAGTCTCGTAAAATATCCACGTACACGTTAATAAAGAGCCGTCGCTTCAACGCGCAATTCGTTTCTCATTACAAGTTGTGGAAACTTAATAATTAATCTAGTAGCGTTACTTGTCACTGATAAAGGAGTCCAAATCAATAGCGTTTTATCCTGACATTCTTCACGATCGAGTCTTGGAAACCGACAACGCAAAAATAATACCACGCACGGAGCGACTCGCGCCACTGCTTGCCGGCTCGACTTTCGGCGAGCGTGTGAGAGCGCGGCGACCTTCAGCTACAATGATGGTACGCAATAACATCGTACATCACCGCGCCGAATGAAAAACAACAAAAAAACGTTGAGAATTCGTTGGCCCATCTACGTAATGGAACATTCCGTACTTATCACTCGCTCGCCGAACGTCGAGCCGGCAGGCAGCAGCGAGAGTTGTTCCATGCGTGATATTATTTTTACGTTACCGGTTTCCAAGATCGATCGCGACGAATGTAGGGATAAAACGCTGTTGATTTGTACACCTTTATCAGTGACAAGTAACGTTACTCGATTAATTATTAAGATTCTAAAACTTGTAATGAGAAACGAATTGCATGTTGAAGCGACGGCTCTTTATCAACGTGTATATAGATATTTCACGAGACCAACTCATCCAAAACATGAATGTAAACCGTGATACTTTGTCGCGGTTACATCTCGTTTACGCACCGCGCTTTTAACTATCTATCGATTTCGTGTAATCTGTTCCATTTTTGGGGAGAGAAATTTGTGCGACTTCGGCGTTCACGGCGTAATTCGCTCTGTCTTCGCAGTTCTTCGCAATTCGAACGGGCAGGAAGTAAATAACGTCGCTTACTGCATTTCACGCTATTTTACATCGCGTACGGGAGTGTCCGAAATTTCGCGCGATCGACTTTCGCGAGTGAGTGTGTGAGTGTAAGTGCAACAAGAAAATCTCAGAGGAGGAGCAGGCTTAGGCGGCATCGGGCAACGGCAGAGAAATCGTAAGGTAAGTGTCTTACATTTTTGTTATTTGCTACTTGTGCAAAATGAATCATCTGTTCTGTGCTTTTATTTTATTTATTCAAATGATTCCAACGAGCATTCGAATAAGTGTTAGAGACAAAACCATACGTATAAAATTTTGTGAGTTCATATTTAAAAGGAAGACTTTCAGTATTCTATATAATTATTTTAATAAATACCCATTTTCAAAAATATTAAATATAAAGTATGTTTAATACAATAGTTTCGATTTTGCATAATTAGTCTATAATAGTCGTATACATTTTTGTATTGTTACAATTTAACATATGACTGAAGCATGTCGTATCGCACAAGCGAGACAGCCAATCAGCGTCGTGGAAAAGCGGCAACAATTAATACTTCGAGATATGCGACTAATCGACTTACATGATTTTTTTAGAAGTGGAGTGGACTGGGAAAAAAAGTTGATACAACTAAAATATTTAATTGCCAGTAATTTCTTAGTTTAAATATATTTGCAGCCATTTGTTAATTGAAACATTGGCAGTAATTTTTTAATTTAAATAACACACGTGTCACTTATCGAGATGTGTTATTTTTGACTTTACAAATACTTTCTTGGCAGCTCGTGACCGCCGTATGGAAATATTTTTTGTACCAACAATTCCTTCCCTCAGCGCGGCACGAAAATATTCGTGGCTCTCTCTCAGCCCGCGTGTAAGTCCTGAATATCGCGAGCGTCGGTAGACGCTAATTTAAATATATTGCAATTTGGGAGATGGGACGGGCTGATCGATCTGACTTTCCGCTGCAGCGCGACGTTCGATCGTACCTTAGACTTGACCAGCGGAATATTGATCACCGCGGCCGGCGCGTCAGCTAGGCCTAAGTTCTATATGCATGCACAACGACGAGGTGAAGAACCTCTCGTTCCATTTCGCCGTGTTCCCAGTCGCGCGCTTTGGCCGCGGGATTTGGGGTCTATTGTCGCATTTAATTTATCGTTTTCGGTATCTTTGAGTAACGCTGAGATCGCGAATTCTTTCGGCACTGCGCGCGACGTTCCGACGTGCGAGATGTGCGATTCGGTGTCCATCATATTTATTAATCAAGACAACGGTCGTGGAGCAGTGTTAGGGCCTGAGCAGAATGGCCGTCTTGTATTCTTAAGACACAAGACAGTTATTGTGCGTTGCTTTAAGACAAAGATTGAACACATAAAACGTTGCCTTAACAGTACAAGACAGCCATTCTGCTCAGACCCTTTATCCTTTGTTAATAATATTTGTAATTTAATTGAAAGTAAAGGACGCAACTCGATTAAACGTTGCCAAAAAAATTAAATTGAAAACATTGGCGTCCTGCTGTCGCGGCGAACGCTTTTGGGCAGGGCGGGCTTGCGTACCTTGGTATCGCGATTCCTCCTTGTTCGAGCCCTGCACGTGGTAGCCCTTCGCCTCGGGCGAGAAGTGACGTCTGTTCCGCGAGTTGTACTCCTCCTCGTTCACCGTCGTCGCCTTATCACTGCAAGAGACGTGAAACTGGAAATCGACTCGGAAGTAATTTCGCATGCGAGCGCGTCAATATTTAATTTAATGCAACGACAGGACTGCCATGCAAAACGACAGTTTCACGCGAGCTTTAGTTGCACATCCGCATTTGCAACCTGAAACACGTCGGCATTCCGGAAATAGACGCGCGGCAAATAAAACGGGCGAGTATCATGTGAGGCTAACGTTCTCATGGACGTGTATTCATGCAGGATAACGAGCTTTCGTAGCTTTCACTAGTGCGCACTAAGGCCGGTGTTCATAGAGACCGTGTAATCAGAGACTGGCCGTAAGACTTCGTCAAATTCCTGCGAGTGAGAGAGAAATATAGACTATCTCGCTATTCTACGATCGTAGAATCATAGAATCGCAGGAATTTGACGAACTCTTATGGCCAGTCTCTGATTATAGGGGCTCTAGGTATTCGTAGTCGATCCTTACTTCAAAACCATCTTAAGTGTCGTCTTAAGAGGCTAATACGGCTCTGTGATTGATTCAAAACACATTAAGAGTACACTTAAGACGATTTTAAATACAGGATTATGAATACCGGCCTGAGACTTGTTCACAGTCAACTCTTCTATTTAAGGATCGTCTTAAATACTTTTTGAAGTACTTCTTAGCCAGTAAAATGACCCGCGTGGCATTCGCGCGGATAATGTTTTTGGCTAAACAGTTTTTGGACGCGTACTCGAGATGACCGTAAATATCAGAGTAGACTCTGAACAAGCCTCGGTGTGCACCCAGTGCGCACGAGTGCAAGGTGCCGAATTCGCTACGACGCGCCCGCTGGTCATCAAATTCAACCGGTCGATTTTCTGCTCGAGCTCGATGAGCTCCTTTCGAAATTAGGGGCTTTTTCAACGACATTTCGTGGGCTTGAACGTCAGGCGTTATTTCACGTTCTTCGCGACTCACGCCGCCTCTCTTTCCCTTTCGATCGATATCGTATCCATTTTCCTCTCATGAAGAATAGAGCATTACGTCCATCGGCAGCGCTTTCGCGGCTTCCAATATTAATCGACTGTTACACGTCTCATGCATTACGAATGCCGCGCTCTATATCTCTCATCCCCCTTGAGCGAATTCGATCCGCGATGGTCAACGTACACCGTGCCGCTGTTTCGGTTCAACCTCAAGGCGATGACCGGCGTCGTCGCCGTGGTGATGATGGTCGAGACGGACGCGCTGCCGTCCCCGTCGCTGTCGCGGCCGACGCCGACCGACTTCCTGCACCGGAAGACGCACGGGCAGCAAAGCAGGACGGCGTTGGCGAACGTGTGCCCGGCGGGCCTGCTCGCCGGCCGCATCTCGCCGGTGACGGCGCCGTTCTCCTCCTTCATCTCGATCGGCTTCGCGCAGGACTTGAAGATCATCCCGCGACGCCCCGTCGACGGTGCCGCTCGAGAGTTCTCGGTCGCGGCCGCGAAACGCGCTTCGTCTCACCCGACAGACTGACCCCCGGGGTCGGCGAGCGCGACGTCATGGCTCGAGCGACTTGTTGCTGTCCTGTACCATGATCGTGCGCCCCTCTCGCGGATTTACGAGGACCACCCTCCGTCTTTTCGTACGAAGAGGATCAACGCTCTCTTGTCGCAGAAAGTTTCGCCGCCCTGGACGACACTCCGCGCCAAATTCTATCGCATCGGCGCTTCTTTTCAACTCGATCTCTTCGTCCCGGAGTCTTTTTGATCTTTTCTTTAATTTTGTTTTACGTTTTATTTGATTCAGCGGGGCAGGCACATTAACATTGTACAGCGTGACGAGATGATACGGGTGGAAAAGGTTAAATGTTGCCCCGTCCCGACCTTTCGCAGTCGTTAGAAGCGGCGGAAGGAAATAAGTGCGCGAGCCCCGAAGAATCAATCGATACTAATGACAATTTCAAGCACCGGCGAACGCTTCTACCACCGAATATCGCCCCGTGCGTCGGCGACGTGTGTGCGAGATCGATGCGTCGGAATGTCCGAACTGCGAAACGCGCGCAGAAACGCGAGAGATCGAGCCGCAGATTAGTTATCGATCAGGTGTCCAGGAGGTTCGTGTCTCGAAAACGCGCGACCTTACGCCCGTCCTGCCTGCGTATCCACTCGGCCATTCCGCGTAGTGTTTCACTCGCCCCGGCGTTTCCCATCCCAGCTCCTTTCCGATTCGATATTTAATTTAGTTAAATTTGTTTTCTTTTTACGTGTCACTTTTTACGCGATCTTACGACACGCCGTGCGGCCCGGGAGTCGCGTCGGGTCGCCACGCTATTCCGCGAATCGGTCGAATTCGCAATTATCCTACGACTGTCGCGTGCGGCACGTCGAACTAGCGACGATTCGATCGAGATGTCGCAATTGCCCGTCGCGCCGTTCCATCCGCAGGCGGATAACTTTTCAAGGGCGGGCCTTGCGTAAGAGCCGCGGCCGCGCGAAATCCACGTGTCGTTCACGAATACACGCGGCGCGTAGCACTCGCGGCCATTCGATTTAAATGACAGAGGTCGACGACACTCGCGCGTAACGTCGAGCGGGCGCGACTGGCTGCTGGTCCCCGTGTCCCCTCGCGGTGAGCCCCGTGCGTGGAGCGAGACGAGACGGCGAGGACCACGCTCGACGGCGAGGAGGCATGCTTGATCGGCGAGGGACACGCGCTCGTAACAATCGACGACGTACGCACGACTGTGGCACGTAGTGGAGACGGTGAGCGTCCCGACGCTGACCGCTGCCACCGCCACCCCCACGTCGTCCCTTCCCCGTGTCCGTTCGCTCCTCCCTCCTGCTTCTTTTTAACCGCGAAGGAAAGGGCGAGGGTACGGACGAAAAAGCGTGATACGCGATTTCTCTATTGGGAAAAGAGTACAGGGGTGCGAGGGGTATAAGAGATTGTGCGGACCAATGAAGGGTGCGGAGTGAATAAGGAAGCTGAGCGGTTGTAACGTAAACGCGAATGTTCAGTTTGGATAAACTGCGACGAGGCTCGCGAATCTTCTTGTCCGTCGAGGGCATTTTCTGCCGTTTCTGAGACGCGGACACCACGAGCTTTCGAGGGTCCCCCCTCCTCGCGAGACCTGTAAACCAGGCTGACCATAACTCACCCTTCTCCCCTTACGCGGTCACGAAAGAAGGGTTGCCAGAGTCATGCGATCCGAGCGAAACGCGGTTAAAGGGGGTTGAAGCAGATGCCAACCGCATTTGTCGCTCCAAGTTCTTTACGACCACGAGGAGATGGCGGTGATGTTGAAAATTAATTGCATTAAAAACTCCACCTCGTTGATACGCGAAGGGCAAAGCTATTCACAATTAATTCTCGGTGGGAATTGATTTTAATTGCCGGCACGCGAAAATCCCCGATCGCCTCATCGGCTTAGTCATGCAATTTCTCTCGTGAAAAATCGATGCGGCATTTCGAAGAAGTCAACGCGCAGTGAATCAGAGGCCACGCATCTCGGAAAATTTCTTCCTTTTCCTTCGGTTCTTGGAAAAACTTTCCTTCATTTTTCTGTGAGAACTCGATATAGAGGAAATTTTTTTTTTTCCTTTGTACAACGGAAATCCTTTCCATTTTTCTGTGAGAACTCGATATTGAGGAAAATTTCTTTTTGTGCTTTGTTCCACGGAAAGACATTCCTTCATTTCTCTGTGAGAACTCGATATTGAGATTTGTCGCGATTTACGCACAAAGTGTCTTCAACGTTATAACACTCCGGGATATTGAACAGCGATCAGCTGGCTGCGTGCCGGCTTAGACGTAAAATATTCAACGAGGAGGAATGGACGATAGCGCGAAAGCGTTTCGACAATCTACAATAGTCCCGCATGTTGTAACACGCTATGCACGCAGCGCCCGCGTCGTTTAATGCCCGTTGCACTCCCGGGCGCTGCGAAGATTTCGAGTTGTACAATTTCTGCACGGAAAGACGAAACGACCGAGGCATTTTTTCTATCGTGCGGCACGCGCGCCTTTCTTCGTCGCCTCCCCCTTTTTTAATTTTATCGATTAGTCGATTTGAGCGGTCGAAGTTAGTCCGCTCGCGACACGGCGGCACGCGGGGGCCCGCGAGTTAAATGTTAGGCCGCAATTCTCCTGCGATCTCGATGGGATAACGGAACGGAAAAGTCGCGCACTTGTATAAATTTAGAGCCGATCGGAGTTATATCGGTTGTAAAAATCGCCGGCATGCGAGGTGATTTTCACCGACCTAAAATCCGGCCGCTCTATCGGCGATTTGGATCTTGCTACACGAGCTAAGTGTGTTGAGAATAATGTGTGTCACGCGGGAAGATCGAGATTAAGCGAAATACGAGGTCGCGCACCTCGCGCTATTAAGATCGGCCATTACGGCTTAAGCTATCATCTTAGACGTGCGATAGCTTGAAAGCTGCCAGTGTGTCACCCAATAATTCTGTTCCTTCAACCGCGCAAGTCATTGCAGGTGGCATCTTAGAAACCTATCCATTTACTTGGAATTTATTTATAAGCAACGTCAGTATTTTCTTGATCGTATCTGGCATTTTTAGTAATACCGAAAATTTATTGCGAACAATTTTACCTCAGCCAGCGTTTGAACCTGGACTCCCCCACACTCTAGGCGGGCGTCTCAAAAATGTTCAAACCCTGGCCGAGGTAAAATTGTTCGCAAGAAATTTTCTGTACTATTAAAAATGCCAGATATGTTTAAGAAAACGCTGACGTTGTTAATTGCTGCTGGCGACATTGAAAAATATTCTTATCAGTTTATTTATGAAGCCCAAATTCGTCGCCGACGTCTCGTGGGCGACGTTTACGCATATCATTTCGCGTGATCGATACCCCGGTATCTCGCTCATAAGTTTATTTTAAGACCGTAATCGATCCTGTCTGGGATTGCTGGAGCGTGTAAGAAAAAAAAACAACACAGAAATAAATAAAGCGAAAGAGAAGAGGAGAGAAAAATTCGGCCAACGGTCGCGCGCCGACGCAATTTTATTTCGAACGTTCAACTTGGCGGAGCGAGAACTCACATGTCGTACATCGACGAGGCGTGAAATCTGTTGGAAGCCAGCTTGACGAAGTGCCGCGATCGGTGGAGCTGCGACGGGGATAACGAGCGCAGCCTCCTGCGATAAGGATTGGCGAAGCTTTCCGAAAAGGGACGCCCGTTCTCCTGCGGATCCGACGAGATCAGTTCCATCTCGGACCTCGGCTGCGCCGCGTCCTTCGCCCTGCGATCCTTGAGCTGCGACGATAAATCAATGTTGAAAAATACTCAGAACTTCTAAATTCAGAATTAATTCAGATTTGTTCAGCTTCTATGAGGAGTTGCCTTATTTCAAAGACACTGATATTTTCTTTCAACTATATGCCTTCTTCGATTTATCGTCTCTCCAAGTGAATATTCACTGTTTCCAGTGATAATCCACCGATTGACTTTTAGAGAGAAATTTACAGGAACGAAAAATTCTCAAAAATCTTGGACATATTCGGGTTTAAAGGGTCGTGTCTTAGAATCTCAGTAGGTTCACGTTTCAAAACTCCGATGGAATTTAACAATCGTAAGTTTAAAGGAAACGGAACGTTAGGACGATTTACTTACCCGGTACGTTGCGTTCCTGTCGTTATCCGCAGATACTTGCGGTCTCAGATTCTGAGAGTCTTGGTACATGCGGGTCGATGGACTCGGAGCGGTTCGTAACGGCCGATACGCACTTCCATCCATGAGTTTCCTTTGGCGCTCCTGAATCGCGTTGTATCTGCAAAGGTCAGTTACGTGAATGTAGGATTCGTCCGAAAAAATATTTGCCCCGACCAGAAACATTGCTTCCAGAAGACTCACGTCTCGACGAGCGTTGGTTGCTGCATGTTTCTGGACGACGAACGTCGACGTCCTCCCGCGCAGTTCGAGCTTCCGTTCTTGTCCGTAAATTTGTCGGCGTCCACGAATCTGCCGTAACTGTGCGAATTGTCATCCGAGAAGAACGCTTCTCTGCTTCCTACAATATCCTACAAAGCCATAAGCACAATTTGAATTTGTATTCTTACGACGCACAACCACAGACACCGGATCCAATGTAATTGCACTTCAATGTATCATGAAATAGGATCGATACAGCGCCAATCACATTTATTATAGAGAAAGGAATATTTTAAATGAAAAATTCTAAAATCTAGAATAAAATGGTAGTATGTATCGTCTTTCGTCGAATATCGCGGTGCCAACTTCGTGCGTTGTAAGACGGAGGGAAAATTTATTCTAAACGCAGGAATATATAAACGTACATCTAGATAAGTTACTCTCGTCTCAATATAGTAAGTCAATCTTTTTTATTCGATAGAGATGAATAAGAATTATTGATTTTATTTTGATATCGTCTTATTTTTACACTAAACGAGGCTGTGAGAAATATAAATGCCTCAAGAATATTTTGTTGTCTCGGTAACAGAAATCCTTTCTGAGGGTGCGGGATCGACTGTTGCAATTCAATTTTTAGCTTTAATAATTTAATATTAAAAGAGAAATCGGGACGTGTAAAAAGAAATAATTGCTTTAAAAAATTGTTATCCAAATTGCCAAGTCTTTATCGAAAGTTCGTCTACGAAGAACGAGAGTATATTTAGCTTACACTGTATTCTCTGTTCGATGTCCCGAAAGCCTTCGTGTAAGAGGACGGTCGGTAAGCGTTAGAATGCGAATCAAATGTCTGACTCAAAGTCTGACTCTCCTCTTGTTGAAAACGTTTTCGCCGTTGATATATAGCCGCGTACGACCTGTGCGCACAATTAACGCCACGTATTAATTTCATTCGAATTAAATTCGCGTTTTCTTATCGCGAAGTTACCAAGGGTGCTCACCCGACATTCTCCTGTCGCAAATTTATTCGATTTCTATTGCTGTCTAGCGCGTCCGTTGTTGGCTTCCGCGAATTGGAATTGACATGGTCCAGGTTGAGGGATTTTTCACGATTCTGCGACGTTATCTTGGGACGCTCGCGCGTCGACAATACGGGGATCCTGGATTCTCCTCTAAGAACAGTGTTTTCCTGTAAACATAAGTGATTCACTCAATTGTATTTGCTATGGATTTTAATTTCAAGCATTGAACTAAATGTCTAAATTATTAAGACAACAATCTGAAGTTTTTCATTCATTAATACCGATGTTGTCTCGACGATTCTATTTCAATTACACTGATCTTGATGACACAACGTCATATTTTTCCGTGTATTATGTTAACTATTTGTAATAATATAATTTTAACGGAAACTAAGCATCAGTGACCGGAAATAATTTTATGTTTCATATCTGAGGGTCTTGCCTTTTCTTTAGCAATTTCATTAACGTCTCTGCGACTTCGCGCTTTATGCTCGAAATTGTCAGAAATTTCTCTGTGCCCCTTAACGTCAGCCTCAACAAAATCGTACTGATTCGGCGGCGTGTAAAACGATCGCGGCTGCTCCTCCAGTCGTAAATTGGCATTTGAAGGCACTCCTGAAAAATTTGAGTTGTCTTTTCAAATCTTTGTTAGGTTTCATTAAGACTCGTCAGCTGGAACAGAATTTAGGAAAGATTGCATTACCTGCGTTCACGTTTCGTCCATTCAGTCCCTTGATCTCATTTTCATTGCCGTTCTGTAACAGAGAAGGATACTCGCTTAAATATGACATTGAGCCTGCATTAAATCGCGCGACACTCTAACCTGCGGTGTGTCTGAACGCGTGGCCTCTAAGCGCGACATAATCGTTACGAAATTTTACTTGTAGGCACGAACGCTCGTGTGTGAAAAATCAAAAATGAGAAATTGGAATAACCTATTATCCTGAGAACATTTTGCGTTTCATGTCGCGACACGCCATCGAGCTTGATTTAAAAAACAAACGAATTCTGCGTGCCGCCGACACAAGCCGTAAAATGTAAGATTTTTAGAGGCCCCCGGCGATCTTGTGAAACTCAACGGTCTTAAAGTATTTAAATTAAATATTCGTTGACGATATTAACCAAGACGCAAATGCAAATTGCGAAAATATGATGTTATTGAATCACGCAGAGACTTAGTCGCCGGGGTTCCGTGTTTAAAGCCCCTTACTCATAATTCACACTTGGGGAATACTTACGAACGTTCGCGGTGATATGCAAAATAGAAAGCTTCAGAGAAAAGATGTATTATTCTGTCCCCGCTTCCTACTTCGTTGTGTATTTGATATTTCGGCATTTGCAATGCAAAGCCGATATCTCGGTGCGTAACAATGACATTGGAAAAGTAACGCACGACGCAACGCGCCGTATTTAATGAGAAATCAATAATACTTCTCATGTAAAATTATATTATCAATGCGTCGGAGAATCGTGAATAATACGCCAATCTAGATAGTCTTTGTCGTAAGAATATAGAGGGAAAGTGCCCTATTATGAGATAGGATCCCGCCATGAATTTATTGCCTTCAGAGCGAAGTCTGTCTAGCGGTAAATTCAATTACACAATCTAACAATCAACAATTTCGAATAATAATTACGCCTTTAATCGACCATAACTGACAATGTGTATTTTACACGGAAAATTTATTGCGAAAAATATTACCTCTGCCAGGGTTTGAACCTGGAACCTCCCTACACTCGTGTAAATCGTTGCGAAAAGAGATTTGTGATTGAATTTGGGTATTGAAAACCTGCTATCTCATATTAGAAACAGACTTTATACATTTTGCATACACACGTGGCAAATGTATATGTGTTCTACCTAAATTCATATGGGAAAGCATCAGTGATTTCTAGCGTACATAGGCGAGAGAAGAAAATAGAAAATACGCGGCTCCACTTACGTTAATCTTCGAGGCCAGTATCTGCCAGGCCGTTGACTGCTCAGTCTTGGATTGCAGTCCGACACCCTGCGCGACCAGATTGGGTCTGTCTATCCATAGCCTTTCGCGGTTATTCAAGATGTCGTTTCTAAAATGACGCAACGTTTCAGGCAATTTTAGGCAAATACCTATATGTATATACCGAGTTTTCTCGCGTGATGATTCTCTGAGTTATTACCTGGATGCTCTTCCCTGTGCCGATCTGGACGTGGCAATAATCTGGCCTCTGGAACGCCCGGTTCCAGGCGAGACTGAACCGCTTCCCGCCACGATCCAATCGACGTCGGAGCCTATGAGAAATTGACGTCTCGTAAAAACTGAAGACACAGTTACAGTGAATACCCAGCAAACATGATCTTGACGTCAAAATGACGTCAAGTACATCACTCTCTAAAAGTCAGTCGGTGACTGTTCACTGTTTTCAGTGATAATCCACTGATTGACTTTTAGACAGCATGTTTGCTGGATATAACTAAGAATTCTTAACTGTAAAAATTCTAACTACACGTTTTCTTATATTTTGCCTCAAGTAGTACTTTGGCCTAACATTACTTTGTCGCGATTACATCTCGTTGACGCATAATACTTCGAATTATCTGTTGCTTTCGGTGTTTTTTATTGTCCGGAAAAGAGAAAGAAATTTAGCGCGTGCGAAGCGCGCGCTTTGTAATCTCTGGTTAACTAAAAATATCGATTACGCTCCGTGGTATTGTTACATTATACAATATCTTCGCATCACAGAATCTTTTCGTATTTCAAACTTTATCACGGATAATGATAGAGCGAAGTTTCCGTCGTAATAATGCAATTGCGGTGCAAGTCTCTTTGCCATGAGATTCGTGTTTTCTCGTGAGATTCTATCTGCGCGGGTGCATTATGCTTTGCTCGCTTATTCCCGGTTCTTATTACCAGTAGTGATCTGAACAGTCGATGAAATTTGCAAACCGTACACCACGAGACCATCGGCCGACACTAGGGGCAGTGACTTCCTAGCTAGCCGCGCTCTGATAGCGGCCACCATCGCCTCGACGTCGGGGCTTCCCTCGCCGGCCCGTCTGCCCGCTTCGAGAACCTCCTACGAATGAACCGAACGTTATTCCGCCCTCAGAATCCGAGGCTAAGGGGTCAGAGAACAATCCGTAAGCGCTTAAGGGCCTGAGCGCACAAATAATTGTCGTAGACGTACGTCGCATTCGTCGCGTTGCAAGGTGACATACGTCTACGACAATTAATTTGCGCATTGACTTCCGACTTGAGTCTTACGACAGAATCGTAAACGGTTACGACAATCTTTCTGCTCAGGCCCCAAGACTGTCTTAAGTCGTAGACGTAAGGCAAGGCAGGGAAAAACTCGTGAAACTCTATTGTATACGACTTGAGTTTTTCTCTGCCTTGCCTTTACGTCTACGACTTAAGGCATACTTAAGAGTTTACGGGCCGTTCTCTGCCATCCGTCTAACGTTCGAACTTAAGACAATTTTACCTCGGGATCGTAGATCTGCCCTAAAACAGCCAGGGTGTCGAGCGCGGCCTGGCGTACTCTACGCTTCCGATCCGCGACCATCGTCGCCACTCGGCCGGCCACGGTTTCCAGCTTGAACTCGGTGCTCGGGAACGTCACCAGCGAGAAGATCAGCAGCTGCAACGCATTCTCTCTCGTCTGCGCGAAAGAAGCGACGTTAACCGTTCGGTTCTCACGATAGAGTGATCTCGTAAATTCAAAATATAACCGTGATTTAATTAGCGCGCTTCGGTTACCTTGGCGTTTCTGGCGCTCAGACAATGAGGCTGCATCAGTTGTTCCAAGAGCAAGCTGGGCTTGAGCCGCAGCATCGCGACTCGAGCGAGCTGCGCCGCGGCTGGACCACCCTGTCTAGCCAGGCCCCAGGCCAGCTGTGGCAATTTCTTCCTCAGCGCGTTCTCCGAGACACCGGCTACCACCACCTGTAGTTTATGCGAAGCGTAGTTCCAGGAAAGTTGAACAACATAAGTGCTATACGCGTCATGAACCTTTGGTATTATAAAAAAAGTTAGGAAACGAGTTACAGAATTACTTCTCTTTCCGTCGCGCTAAAAGTGTCGTCTACGCAACTGTCGCGCGGGTGGGATTGTGGTATAGGTGTCCTTGCTGCCCGCGTTTAAAACTTATAACTCAAGTTCGAATGCTTCTAAGGCTGAGAATGCGGATGCGGGTATCGATAAAAGCTCCCAGGGATCTCGCGGTATCGAAACTTTCTTCAAAGGCCTCGCGTAGCGATTTCAAGAGCAAGAGAGCGATGCCGAACTCGCGTTGAAAGAAACTTTTCTCAGACGTCTAGACCGTATCGGGGGACGTCGAAGTTTACGACCTGACGACAATTACTGTCTCGTTTAATCGCGCGGGTTATATATCAAACGTCGTGAGGCTAGAATCTAAAAAAACCATAGATAACCCGAAGATAGGACTTTGGCAAATAATCTTTAGATCTCGTGACCAAATCATCTGCAAAAGTTCATCCCATTCGGAAGAGCAACCATACGTAACATAATAACAAGGCTCGCGCGGGCGGTTATTATCCGCTGGCGATGAATCAGCCGAGATCTCGGTGCGTTTAAGGGCGATCTTGAGGTGCGAGGAGTTACGAGCTCACCTTCGCTACCGCTAGGCCGGCGGCGGCCACCCGGCAGCTCCTTTCGCCGCCGAGCACCGCATGCAAGAGCGATCCTAATCGCGACTCTATCGCGATCAGCGCCGAGGACGTCCGCAGAGCCGACGCGACCCTCTCCAGGCCTCTGACACGCGCTCGCCAATCGTCCTGGAAAGGTGGCAACATGTCAGACGAAAGGATACTTGTGAGATCTCACCCGTACGGTTCAAACCTCCAAGGAACGCCTTGGGGACCTCTTTGTGCGTCCTAAAGACTTTAAGGGCCGGTTTCACAAACGTCGGTTAACTGGTAACCAGGGTTCAGTCGACTCCCTATCCTTTTCCATCTTCTTAAATAATAAGATAGAAAAACAATAGGCAGTTGACTGAACTCTGATTGTCAGTTGACCGACGTTTGTGAGAGAGTCTGGAAAAGTTGCTCGAGCAGGTCGGGGAAGCGTGATTGCGACTTAGAGTGATGAGACCCAGAAGGGAGGAATTATTTCCGTTGTTCTTCTAAAGAGGACAGGTGCTGTGTAAATACAAGAAGAAGTAGGCGTTTGTGAAACTGGCCCTAAGGCGTTTCTTGGAGGTTTGTGCTGCATGGGACGCGCCATACACCGTAACTGTCGTCCCTCTCTCGCGACCTTTAATCAGCTACACTTTGACCGACGTTGTCAGGTATCTGATCGCAAGAAAAAGAACTATGTTATTCTATTTTAATTTGCGTGAGAAGAAATTTCATATTTATGTAGCGAGGACTTCGATTTTTATCAGATAGAGAGAGAGCTTATATAATATTGCCGAAATAATTTACAAACGTAGGATCCTCGTCGGGAGAGAAGTTCTCGCGCCGCAGCAATGTCTGAGAAGTAAAGGTTTATTTTGTCGTAAAGGAGGATCGATTGGCTCATTCTTCTATCCGTGCGCAATCGTCTCGCGTGCACATGCAAATCTCCCAACAATTACACGTGATAAGAATAAGCCGCATTTATCCGGCTGTTCTCGGGATTAACTGGTCAAATACTTGAGTATCTAATCGCTAAAGGCCGCTTTAATCGCGCACGTGAGTCATCTCTAATCGCGGGTACGTCCTCGTGAGACGTAAACGCGCAATTTTCTTCCGCTTCGTCTTCCTAATGAGAATAAATCAGGGTAAGGGAATCGTGAGAGGCCCGATCGCGAAGTGAGCAGTGTCGCTGGGAATTCACGAGTCGGCATTATTGATCGTCGCAGCGGAACTGAACGCAATGCATCCGCATTCTCACCGTGCACCTCTATCGAGCTCTATAACCGCGGAATCGATATGAGCTTCGCATTAATTCTTCTTCTTTCTTTCTTTTTTTTTACATATTTCTCACGGTCGTGCGTGACTACCTCTCCGACTTCTTCGACGTTCTCGCCCGCGCCCCTCACGAGGACGAGAGCGTTTTCGAGCCGACGTGGCCGGGACCAGCGGCGAGTCCTAACAGCCGAGGCGTATTTACCCGGTACGTCTGCCCACTTGCGCCACGATGAATCAGAGAACAGTTTGAAAATTGCACTTACGGCCACGTCGGTGCAACGCGACGGGTACAATTGCCGCGGATTTGCATATACACGGGAATGACGCCTTCCTGGACCTGGACGCGACGCGGCACGCAACACGTGCCTAATTATTTTCTTGCGGCTTACCGCGCGCGTTTCCCCTCTCTTTTGCGCTCGTCCGCGGCATAACGATCCGCGCGGGGTAGATCTCCCCGTCGTTTTTCACCCGCGGAATATTCATACGGGCGGCTGATATCAGCCGCCTTTGGCGAGTATCGCGCGGCAATGCACAGACGTTCGCGCGCATAAACTCGGCTTTATTTTGCGCGTAAAAAAAAAAAGAGAAGCGCGGCGTTATTTATCGCGTTTTCCTCATAAATCAATTAGTGGAGGAAAGTTGCGGAGATTTTTCGCGTTCCTCGTAAACGTGTGGCGTTGAAATCGAACGAGAGCGCGAACGAACAGCTTGCTTCAATGAATCGAATGAGTACTCGACGGCGATGCTGTCCGCGCTTGTTGAAACGAGTTGTTTGTTCGTGCTTAGCTTGCGTTTTGTTCGACTCGACGTTACTCCGAAAAAAAAACCGCGCTTTCGCAATCTAATTGAGAAGATTAACGGCCACAGAACTGTCCTCCGAAGAAAGTCTTGACTGCAGAAATGAAAAATGTTCAGGTCGTGCAAATAGTGCGTAGTTGATCGCATTAATATATTAAATAATTTTGTAACTTTAGAATTTAGACTTTTATCTAAATGCCAATTCAATCGGGACATAAGCATTCTTGCTTCAAAAGCGACATTCGAGATGTTTTTCTTTAATTTTCAGTCAAGTTCCGTACTTGTGACATGTATTTTCTTAGCAATTTAAAAGGAGTGTAGATAAAACTTCTACATAAAAGGAAACTTAGAAAGTGACTTCAAAAACCATGGGCGCATCTAGCTTAATTTTGTCCAAGTTAAAGTTCTTTTTTTTTTGCTTTTAGAAAGCCTTTGCGTAGAGAGTCAACGGAGCATTTATATTTTCGTTTGGAAAAATCCTGCGTCTGTAATAATACAATCGCAAATTTAACTCCTAGGATAACTTAAAGAAATAGAAAGTGCAACTTAAAATTTTTATCGGGCGGAGAATCGACTCTACATTGGGCTCTAAGGCGCTGGTCTGGGTGAGATAGAGCCCGCAGGTGACATCGCGGATCAATTATGCAGCGTAATACGACGTTGCGAAAAGTCGAAGGAGCAGATGCATATGTATGCGCGCGTATACGTGTATACGTATTTCCTTTTTCTCGGGATTGCGGCAAACGACGTCCCACGGAAATCGATCGGTGGCATCGGTATTTATTTTCACAGGCCTCTTTTCACAGACGCGCGTCGACGAGGTCGCACGTGCATTCATAAAAAGGTCTAGTGCAGCGACCTTGATGTTACTCGCTGAATGAACATAAGGTGCACTTGCGACCGCGGTGATCGTTGCTGGAACTTTAATCATACAAATTGGTGGGGGGGAAGAAGGCTAATGCGAGCCAAACGCAGGTGATTGTGCGAAAGTGTCCAAGTTGGATCTTTTTATTGAATTTGTAATTTAATCAAACGTTTCGACCCATCTTCGGGTCATCCTCGGTGAGACAAAATGAAATCTAATAAAATCAAACAAAGACGAAGACGATGAAAGACGCATTGCAGTCAGCGTGTGCATTAATCTAAAGAATAGAGACGACTGCCAATAAATAAATTGAAGGGAAGAAGGCCAGTGCGAGCCAAACGCAGGTGATTGCGCGAAAGTGTCTGATATGGATATTTAATCATTAGCCCAGCAAGCTGTTTCTTTACATTTTAATCATCAGCTCTTTGAAATCGACTTTCTCGCGGTGATAAATTCGTCGCTTCGATCGAGCGCTAGTGGAATCGAGGATTCATCCTCGTATCGGCGCGAGGTCTCTATCGGTACGATGCACCGTTTGGACAGCTGTGCTAACGGAATTAGTATGCTAGAGCGAACCTGGGATTCTTCGGCCGTGACGTTCCCCACTCGAGCTTCAGGAGTGGATTCATTCGCCGGACCGATTTACCTACTCTAATTGTTCAAGCAAAACGATGTAAAAGGGTTTTGTAGAGGAAAAATCGAACACGCAGCTACACGTGTATAATTTTGGCAACGCTTTCAACGTCCACGATCAACGTTGGCTATCGCGAGACATTTAAGGAACCGATACGGTTCGTCGTGCGAAGCAACGGATTCAGTACGAACCAGCGAAATTGTACAAGTCATAAGAAATGATGGATTGTAACAGTACTTTTGTTGCAATCCTTTGGTACCGAGCCGAGTGCTTGGGGCTGGCAGTACCTTAGACCCATCACTGTCGGCGAACGGTGCACGAAACCGGTCAGTCAGTGCTAGAAGGCGGGGAGAATGTTCGTCCCGCGGGTTTTAGAAACTTCCGCCGTTGACGGTCCTGACAAGACGCGAGCGGAGGAGACGCCAGGCGATACACACGCGGGCCCGTGAATCGCGTCTCCGCCGGCGATCATGTCGCGGCAGCGGAAACGCGCACTCCTGCGGATACTTCAAGTCGTCGTCTGCCTCGGTGTCGTGTCCTTGACACTGAAGCTGTCCCTCGCCGTTATCGGCGACGAGAGCAGGCCCCTACCCGCCGACGATGATCTGAGAAAGCTGATGGTGAGTCACGATTGCCCGTTCTCAAATCTCAAGGTGATCGAGTATGACTCCGGAACGTTTGTCTCAGCTCGAGGCCGAGGCGGACAACACGCGGCGATCACTGAACGTCGAGAGAGTGTGCAAAAAGTATAACTTGGGATTTTACCGAAAGCTCGCCGACGACTCGCCGTTCAAGCACCCGCCCGCGCCGCAGTACGCCGTCTTCTACATGGACAGGTTCGTAAGAAAAAAAAAAGGGAAGAGAAACACTTCGACTGTTAACGATCGCTGAGGAGCTCCGCGTCCCCAAGATGACAATTGATTCTCCCTGGTACAATTCCTGCGCAGAGTACACAACATATCGTACTGTCCGGTGTACAAAGCCGGCACCACGACCTGGCTCTACAATCTCTGCCTGCTGATGAACGTGCCCGAGGAGGCGCTAAACAACGGCAGGGAGCAGCTGTCGACCGTCGCCAGGAGAGCGATGCCGGAGCTCGAGTATCCCGAGGCCGATCGCGTTTTAAATACGAGCAGAAGGCTGCTGGTCGTGCGGCATCCGTTCGAGAGGCTGCTGAGCGCCTATCGCGACAAACTGGAGAACTCGGTCGCCGGACGGGAACACGGGACGCTTCACTTCTACCGCAAGCACGGGGCCAAAATCGTGCGGAAGTATCGCAGTAAGTCGCGGGCAGCAGAGGTGGCGGACGTGCCGATTAGAAATCTCTTTGCCCGCCTCGCGTGATAACGAATTTAAATTTGCGCGATTAAGCTCTGAAGCTTTACGAGAGCACGTCGAACGCAGTTGAATTATATGGCCCGTATTCTGAACCCTCTTTTTAATCGACAAAAGCGCCTCTGAAAGTGGCCGATAAGTCTTCCGATTGGCTGCGAGCCACTTTTGGAGGCGCTCTTGTCGATAAGGGAAGATTCAGAAGACGAGCCTGCGAGAAGAGAAGAAGAACGGCGACGGATTCGGTGAACTTTTCAGAGAAAAATTTCACGGAGCCACGACCGGATCAGGTGATCCGACGTGAGGGTGTACCGCCGCCGGCGGGGGTGGAACCGACCTTCCGAGAGTTCGTCGATTATATGATCGACATTGACCTAGGCAGTTACGGCGACGATCACTGGATGCCATATTATCTTTTCTGCACACCGTGCCTCGTCAAGTACGACATTATTGCGAAGGTATCGAGAAAATCCGGAGCCGCTGATTGTCACAACGTTTCCTGACGTTTCGCGTTAAATGCACAGACTTCTATGATACTAAGATCGCTACCTTCGAGCTGAACGGTGAGGCAACCCGGTGAGAAATGACTCGTCGAGACGACGTCGAATCGACATCAATTGACGAGGCATTTCTTGCTGCGAAGAGTTTTGCCGTGTTAAATACCTCGGAAACGTTAGATCCGCATTGAAATTTCTGGCGAAATATCACATCGGCGATCGTTTTGGAGCCTCTCGAGCGTGTCAATTAATTTTGCAGGTGGAATCGCTGTGGCGAGATCAAGTGTACGCGATCAATAAGTTAGGATTGCAGAGCAGGATCAAACCCAGATGGAGGCACAGCAGTGGTTACTCTAACGCTTCCAGGATATACTTCAGCCAGTTGAACCGTGCGATGGTGCGGAGATTGTACGAGAAACTCAGGCTGGACTTTGAGTTATTCGACTATTCGCCCGACGTTTATTACGAATACGCCACGTCTATCGATTAATTAAAACCGAGCGTAACGAGCTCCGCGTCCGTCAGGGGCGCAATTCTGCAATAATACGTTTATCTCGAACAGCGACGTGAACCATCGCCCGGGTGGTACAAACTGACGTTACTTGCAAATGACCAGCTTTTGACAATCGCGACGATGCAGAGAACGGGCCTCGTTCATGAGGGTTTTTTTTCTTTTTAAAAGAGCGAAAGATACGTTAAGCCCGTACACGCGCGCACACGTAATCCTGATAATTGATGGAGCTTAAATCACGTTACGTCACGCGACGAACTTTTGTCGACGACGAAAATCGATCGACCTACTTCTCACCGTACCTAATGTATCGGACCGGCGGTTTGTCCTAAAGTCAAGGGTCCTCGGGTGAACGCGTTAATCGCCAATCGCGGCAACCCGCGAAGCAGGGCATTACCCTGCTAACACGCGGCGGGGAACGGTGCCGATTGAATCTCACGCGAATTTCCACGGAGTCACAGCCAACGTGAATTTCTTCAAAGGAACGTCATAATTTTTCCCCCAACTGTGATACGCTGAAGTTAAGGACTCAATTGAAATTGGCTGGATTAGTTCGTAGCCTCGGGGATTAACCCCTTCGCGACTCGAATCGAACCTGCGTCCCATATAATCCGACGCGAAATATTAATACCATTTTTAATTAGTTTAATCTAACGTTAGTACATACCGTTCGGGGAATTTTAAGGGATGATACCAAGAATATAGTTTACTGTTCGTAAACTTCGAGGATCGCGCGCGCAAAGTGTTGCATTTATCAGGGGACGCGTTTGCGCCAAGTTTTTCTTTACGAGAAAATTCATGATTGCATGTATAATAATCGCGCGCATGAAATACCTGGTGTATTTATTAGCCCCGGAAATGTCCGACCTCTCACCTTGTTGTGCAGGTCGTCCAGCACCTCCTGGCCGACCAACCCCAATTCCTCCCAGCTGGGCTCCTGCGGTTTACCCTCGCCCTCGCTGCTGCTACAAGTGACACTTCCGTTCCCCTCCGACGCGTTTCCCTCCTTCCTGTCATGCTGATTGCGCCATTCTTTTCGTCCCTCGCCGTCGCCGTATTTCACGACGGTCACTGCACGATCGTCCGCAATCATGCCGAAGGTACGCACGTCCCGTTCGTCGTCGTCGTCGTCGTCGTCGATCAAGTCGGCGCCGATCAGACGATCCGCTCGCGTATTGCACTCGTTAACCGGCGACCCGAACGGGAAACTGTTGGACCTGCGAGAGAAGCTGTTTACCGACGGCTTCTGCTCGTTCAAACATCCCTTTTCCACCTCGAAGCCATCGTCCTTCTCTCGGGGTGTCTTCTTCCGTTCTGGACTCGATGACTTTATCGCTGTGTAATTCCTTTCTTGCCCCGAGGAGGCGTCAGGAACATCGCCTCTGCTCGAGTCAATCGTGCCCGCGTGATTGTTTTTCTCAAGGACCGCTTGCTCCCCTTTGTTCTTCGGGGCATCTGTCGCTGCAACCTGTGCCGACTTAGACGCGTCGCTTTCGCCCTGGCTCTTTGATAGCCTATGTTCGTTGCTTGCCGAGGGTGGAGCAGCCTGAACTAACGTGACCTCTTCCTTCGGCGATATTTCGTCACCTTCTTGCGAGCTACTGATTACGCGAGCAACTTCAGTTTCAGGGATCGCCTCGCCGCTTCTTCGAACTTTCTTCGCGTTCTTGGTCTCCTCCGGTGTCGAACTGATGAGGATGAGAGGGCTGCTCGTCCTCGACAGGATGCTCTTCTTGGGGCTCAGCTGCGCGTTGTGCGTGTACTCTCTCTTGGGACTGCTGGACGCCGACCTGGAAGCTCTCTTCGATCCCCGCTTCTCCGCGTGAGGACTGCACGGCTGCGACGACGGCCGTCTTCTCGTCGTTTCCGGCATCTTGGTGGCCGGCGACACCGGAACCGGGATCCTCGTCTTGGGCGTCACCTCGAGCGACTCCGTCTCGTCGCTGTCGGGCGTCCTCAGCTTGACGATCTCGCCGCCGAAGTGGACGCGTCTGGGTGTCTTGCGTTTGTCGGCGGACGACGGATCCTCGTCGATGCCGTTGTTCGCATTGTTACCGGCCTCGCTGTCGTCGTCCTTCTCCTCCAGGATCGTCATCGTGATGGCCGTCTCCTCGTTGAACTTGATCTCGGTTTCCAGAACGACTCTCGCCGGTGGTATCGCGCCGCCGGCGCTCGGCGTCTCGTCCTCCTCCTCGGCGATGCCGGAAGTATCGCTGTCGCTGTCCCAGGATTTGTCGAACGCGCGTTCCTTCGCGTCGGCCTTCATGATGTCCTGCGCGCGGTTCTTCTCCTGCTTCCTCTTGCTCGGCTTGATGTTGTAGATTTTGGAGAGCACGTCGATGTTCTTCTTAAACTTGTCGTCGTAATCTTCCAGGTAGCTCTCGAATTCTTCCTCGCCGACTGCGTCGCGGATCTTCATGAGAGACTTCAGAACGGCCTCCTGATGTGGCACCTGGACCAATCGCGAGGCGAAAGCGATGGTGGCGTCCTTGAGGACCTGCGCCGTCGGAGGTGGACTGTTAGAGGACGGAAAGAGCAGCAGAGGTGCGCTCAGGATTACGCCCGTCGTCACGTTTGTCTGAAACGGATTATGGGCGTCCGGGCGATTCAGGCCGTCGTGAAGGATCTGGAATAAATGAAAGCACCGCTTGACTGTTATCTTCGTAAAAATTAAATGTCCGCGGGAAATCTCTAGAAACGTGCATAGCATTTCGACTTGGATTTAGAAGCATTGCGCTAGAAAATTCATAAAAAAAGCATTGTAATGCTATGAGAAAATTTCTCGTCAAATTTCCCGTTAATTAAGAAATAAGGGAACTTTTTAGATTCAGAATAGATGTAGATTTAATGAGGAGCTACACGGCACGAAAATCGTGCAATCGTGGGACAACGTGGCATTTTAAACAACTTCATCAGAGTTTTCTGAAATGGTACCGTACATTTTACTAGTAAAACTTTAGAAAACTCTCATCAAGTTCTTCAAAACGCCATGTTGTCCTACGATTACCTAATTTTCCGGATAATTTTTAAGGGAAGATTCTCTCCGCGTACAGGCCAAGAGAAACTAAAAGATTGCAAACGTTTACGTTTTTGACCATGTTCTCTCTGTTCGGGGTGTGAACCAAGTAGACCCGTAGCGTGTCCAGCGCGCCCTTACGAACCGCCGGCGCTGGATGTCCCAAATTATTGATCAGCTCCGGCACCACCGGTTGCATGACCTTGTCAACGACTTCGACGTTCAGCGTCGGCAGAACGTCCATCAGCACCCGCAGGGCGTGTTGCCGCACCTCCCATTCCGGATCCCGAAGTCTCTCGGAGATCTCGACGAAGGTGGCCTGCGTGTCGACCTCGGACGGGAATCTACGCGTACGCACCTGGATCAGAAATGACGAGCTCGTCAAAACTCACCCGCGTTTACAAAAAGGAAAGCCAGCAGGCCATAGAAATCCACGGCATATGGAAAAGCTCTTCCCGTGCGTGCGCACGGAGAAAATTTTCTCTCAAAATTTACCCTGAAAATCACGTAATCGTGGGACAATGTGGCATTATGAAGAACTTCATAATGTAATGTAAATTCGACGAGAAAATTCTCTCCGCGGGGCGTACCACGTGTTCCCAAAGAGGCGTCAGCTGTATCGTCTGTCCGGACGGCGGAGCGGACATCATCCTGCGCCGCGGCTGGTGACGATGACGGCTACCTCGCCGCGCGGACGAGCCGTTGCCCTCCGCTAAGGTCGGCCTGGGGTCGTAGCTCGACGGCGGTCGAGCGACGGGAAGCGGCGCGGGGTCTTCCTGGGGCTGCGGCGGCCCCGCATCTGTCGATCCTGTCATAGATGACGACAGGCAGCCGGACATATCCCCCTACGTCTCGTCCCTCGGGAACCACCGATTGTCCGTCATCATCTCCCGCGAAACCGGCCCCTCACCGCTCATCGATGGTCCCAGCGGCATATATCTATTATACATGCGCTACGCTGAAGTAAAACTGCATCAAGTCGCACGAAATTGACGTACTCTCGCCTTTACCTTTGAACTTTAAAAGATTAATATTCGCGCTCCCCTCCGCCGCATATCTTCCTGCGCAGATTTACGTGTCGCGAGAAAAAAGAAACACGTCGCCGGCAGGAAGGTCTTTCTAAAATTATTAGAGGAGGAAAAAGGGGTTGATAGCGTAATGGTATAAATAGCGATATCTTCAGGGAAAGGTGAATCGATCCCTTTATTACAAAGTTAACTAACTGAGATTGTAAAGACCGGATGTGCTGACATAAGCGTATGCCAATTTAACGATCGACACGTAATGCCGAGGTTTCCACGGCTTAAAAATTGCAGCGAATGCGCGGTCCCAGTCGCGGGGTGGCCCTCACTGGCGATTTAAAGGGCGAAACGTGAAATCACGAAATGGATAAAATCTACCTAATCCACCGAAGCGCTCCACCCCCGTCGCGTTTGCAGGTATATTGGATTGTGACGTCGAAGAGAAGCCGCGCCGATGGCGGGACATGCAACTCGCATCTACGTGCGCCTCGGTTTAATGTTGTATTCGATATTACTCGAATGAGAGAAGCCGAGTTACTTCCGAACGTCAAGTCACCCCGCAAGTCTCACTGCCCTCACGACTTCTCTCCGGCATCGTCGGCGAATGATTGACGTTTGCTTTGCTTCCGGGGTGTACGAGGCGCGATTGACGTTGCAAAGACAGCTGTCGCTGTCAAAGAGGACGTCAGCATACGCTGCGGACGAGTGGCATCGCTCCCGAGTTGAATTGCATATATTTCAGGAACGCGGTTGTCTCGTGAATAAGGAAAACCAGTCAAAACACACGTCGGATCGCGCGCGTCTCCCGCCCACTTTGCCTCTCGTACTTACCCAAGGAGACAAGTCAAGATGACGTCAACTTGATGTTATATTAATCAAGCTTTATAGTCGATATTAACCGGCCAGTGTTTTAATACAGAAAAGTTGTTGCGGAAAATATTACCTCTCACCAATTCGACCACTGAGGCACGTGAGACGCCCGCTTAGAGAGAAGGGAAGCCCAGGTTCAAAGCCTGGCTGAGATAATATTTTTCGCAAGAAATTTTCTGTATTAAAACACTGGCCGGTTAATGTCGATTAAAAAGCTTGATTATTGTTATCTATTACTGGCAACTTAAAGAGGTTTCTATGTTTGATGTTGTATGGACCAAATTCATGTCATACTTTGGTCAATGTGACAACGTCATATTGACATCATCTTTACCTGTCAGCTCTCTTTGGGTAGACGTGGACCGGGAGTCATATTTTATATTCAAGACTGTCTTAAGATCATCTTTAAATACTCCGTGGCCAATAAAATGTTCCGTACAGCATTTTTAGATAAATTCAAGACGGTCTTGAATATAAGATCTGATTATGAATACCGGCCACAGAGTCCCTCTAGTCAAAGTCTGGCCAACAGGCAGTTTCGGTAAAATAATGCGAGAGAGAGAGAGAAAGAAAGAAATATATGTTGGCCAGAGACGATGGCAGTGTTTGAACATTATTAACGTTGAAATACGCGGCTGCGTCGACATCACGCGGGCGGACCGGTATTTTTAAAAAAAGCGGTAAAAGCCTCGCGAGGGGGAAGTCGCCAAGTTATCATTAAATCTCTCACGACATGAAACCCCTCGTGTAAAAAAGTAGCACACACGAAACCGCGATTGCATAATACGGCGGAGAAACGTGCGTACTCTTTATACTTCCTCGAGACATGCAGGATAATAATTAAAATACTCATATTTTTAATAAGCGAACAACCAAAGATACGAAGCGTTGTGCTATTAATCATAAAATTGTTATATACAGCCTGCCGTAAATTTAAGAGAAGAGATGGGGGGAGGGAAAAGAAAACTTTATCTCTTACAAAGTTACAAAATCTTTGAATCTTACGGAGATTGTAAGGCGAATCGGAATTGTTAAGAATTGCATAAAATTTAAATCACAAGCTCTTTCATAAAGTGGATTTTTAGATTTTTTACCTTAGTTTTTTAAAACATCTATAAGTTCAAGATTTCTTTTATCTCTATATTTTGTTGCTAATGCCGCTATTTCTAATAAGAGAATTTACAGAATTAGGATTAAAGAAAGGAATTGAACATTGGAAATGTCCTCCGATTTTCAAAGTTTGAGCTCACATAATTATTTTTTATCTCCCCGCGATGGATCATTTTGCAATGCGAGAACAGATCACTTGAATTGTGAATTACTCACAAAGTTACTTTCGAAATCAGACATTTTAAAAATATTTGATATATTCTTCTAAAATGTGATGGGAAAAAGAGAGAAACAAAATATATAAGTACAAATTTATGTAGCTTGCAAGTTACAAGAAGGATTTATATTTCTAAAGTGCCTGAACACTTCGATTTCAAAAACTTTCGAAATATTAAATGTATTTTCACAACTTCATTGAGATGTTTAAGACACTTGAGTCGACGTCTCTGAAACCGAAAGTATCGCGACCGCGAAAATGTGGCATTTTGGGAAAAATATTTGCACCTCTAATGTTTCGTGAAAAATTGTAGGGATCGAATGGCACGTCGACAAAATTTTCGCGTGTTGCTTGAAAAGTACACGGGGAGAATTTTCTTTGAAAATTTATCCTGGAAATCGAGTGATCGTGAGCACTTTGAAGAACTTTGAGAGTTTTCTGAAAGTTTACCATACATTTTCCTAGTAAAATGTATACTAACAAGTGTAATTATTAGTGAAATGTGTGGTAAAATTGCCAAAAGCTCTCGTACAATTCTTTGAAACGCCATGTTGTTCCACGATTGTAATATTTTCAGGATAAACTTTAACAGAAAGCAGCCGCGACGAGGAAGGCGAGGGTTGAAAAAAGTCCCACTGATAAAATAACGTGGGAAACCGGTTGGTGAACGTCTGTGGGAGTGCAATTGCGATACTTAACGTCGGCGCACTTCGGCGAGTTATTGTTAATTAATCAGCGATAGAGCTTACTTTGCGTGAAGCGGCGGTGGAGAACGCGCGGGCACACTCGACCGCGGCCGGCATGTGACTATCGCCGCCGCGTTCTCCACCACCGGGAAGGAACTGCTTCGCAGTTAATATCGACCACCCCCGTCCGTCCTCCCACCTTGGCGAGAATCGTCTTATACTTCACAGCGAGCCCCTGCTGGCGTTGCAAGTGCCTCGGCAGAGGTACCGGGAGAAAATAAATCATCGTCAAAGTATCCGCGCGAGAAGATAGGGACGAGCCGCGAGGGATTTCTTTTTTTCTTTCGCACGTACCACAGCGAATCGTTTTTCATTCCGCGCCACGCAGAAAAAGGTTTCTTTGGATTTAGTATTGCCATTTATTTGATTGAAATGTGTTTCGTTGAAACATGTGCTTATACGAAACATTACTTATTTGTTCGAATAAAAATTTTGTTGTTTCATTCAAACATTATTTGATGACAAAGATACTATTATTTCAAGTAATATCTTTCAATTAAATAATGATATTATTTGGCCAGGCGCCTATAAAGTTTGGCGCTGCTACTAGATGGCCGCCGAACTCGTAAGTAAAATCATGGCGGCTACAGAGATGTAAGCGACCGCAGACGCAGTCTAATCATCCACACCGAGAAAGTCTTTGAAAATTTTTTTATTTCACTGAAATAAACATCATGTGCCACAAATAAATTTTCAAAGACTTTTTCTCAGTGCAATGTTCTATTCTTTACGAACATAGTGTACTAATTCAGTGTTTATCTTCTTCTAACGAAAAAATTCTAATGTAGAGGGAAAAAGATGTATGTACGTACATTTTTCTCACATATTTTCTTTCAAACCATAATGTTGCTCGAATGAAACAACAATACCATTTAGATCAAAGAGAATATATCTTTTGTTTCAAACAAATGATTTTCGTTTGGTCCATTCCCAAATATCAAATTTGTTTGGATACAACAAAATTGATTAAATCCAAAGAAATCGTTTTCTCTGTGCGAGGAATTAATATTCTAACGGTGTGTTAATCGACAAAAAAAATAGATCTCGGATTGCATTTATTATTTCGTCACGAATCACGCATTTTTGGTTTGATGTTACTTTGGGAATTCGAAGGTGACGCCGCACGTTGCAACACTTGCAACGCAGTTACCGTGGTTCGCGAACGCGTGTTTAGTTGCCGAAGCCCCGACGAGCTATATCCGTTTGTCCAATATTTATACAACGCTTTACCGAGTCTGATTAATCGCTTCATTATTCAGTCCAAGTCAAGTTTCTTCGCGAGTCAGGAACGTCCTTTCTCCCGATAATTCTCCCTCTCCCCCCATCGATCCGTCCGTTATCCTGGCGCGTCCGCCGTGAGGAACGATCAGCGGGGGAGGAAAAAATATTTATCTCGGCCTGTGTATGAGGGATGGTACACGCGCTCGTATCACTCGCAGTGATAGGAGCTAACGAATGTATGCCAATGAATGCGCGGGGCGGCACGCGATATTCATGAAATTGAACACGGACAATTTCGAAATTCCATCACGGGGAATCCCCGGCGGGCTATACGCTTCCGGGCGCGATTAAAGGGGCGATTTCGAATGGAGCACCAGACTTCGAACGGACGAGGTACCAGACGACGAACGCAGAAAGCGGAGCCGGGCGCGACGGTTGATCGATTTCGCCTGTAATGCCCGGTGTTCGTATCGCGAGTCTTATCGTGGCTCATTTGCTATTAGCGGTATACGCCCGCATACAACGCCGCGATTCAATCTGCCGATTTTACCGTTTTTCTCGGAAAAGAAACCGTCTTACGTGATGACGAAATGCATACCTCCCTCGCAATCGATTCGATGTTGCTCCCAATCCCGTTTCTGGAGTTTCTAATCGTCGAATAGTGTGCTCGGATATAATTACAGAACCTAGTACTCTCGGAGCTAAAAAAAAATAAAATATTCGCATAACAACGGGAACTTGAGTCCGCAGGAAAGAACAATAATATATCCAGGGCGTAAGGAATGTAACAATTCTTTACTCAGCTTTCCATCAGGGCATCGCGTGAAAATGTAAATACAAGCTTGCGATAACGGCAATAATTACACGCATTTCTTTTCTTTCGTTCGCAGCGAGGAAAAATGTACGGTGCACAATATACAGCAGAAAGGAGCATTTCAAGAAGGCGGATTTCTTCACGCGGTGGGAAGCTTGGTCAGCGTGTCTGCGTATTGGAACTCCTTGCTGTTCTCGTAGTCGCACATGTCCAAAGCGATGACGCAGCTCTCGCGGACGACTCTCTTGCTGTCGCCGAGGTATCTGTTCAATATCTCGTAGCACTCGGCAGTGGCGATGGAGCCCAGGGCTTCCGCGCACTCGTGCCTGACCATCTCGTTCTCGCCCGTGTCTTCCAACGACGCTCGCAATCCCGGCACGGACGCCTCGTCCTGAAGCTGTCCCAGCACAAACGCCACCTCGTGCTTGAACAGAGCGCTACCGGCCTTCAAACCTTCGCGTAAAAGTCGACGCTTGATTAGCCAGTACTTAATATTTTCAGATTGACGATAAATCGGTACAAGCTTACCCTCGACGAGGGCGAGGACGCTCTCTGTGGTGCCCAAGTTCCTCAGCGAGAACATCGCTCTGTACCTGTCGAACAGCGACTTGCTCTCGTCCAGCAAAATGTCTCTTAGGACACTCGCGTCTGTTACTTCCGCCAGTGGCGCGGGATCGACGGTCGAGTATGGATTCGTTTGCAAGCCCTTCGCATCACTGTTGGACTCCAGCCACCTCAAGCGGTTCAGGGCCAGCTCGCATGTCTCCGCTACCTCGGGCACAGGGTCCTCGCTGTACTTTTCCAACAACGGGATTACACTCGGCTCGCCGATAGCACCCAAGGCCTCACCTGGCGAGGGACGGATTCCTTATTCATTCCGTTTCTCTTTGATTACAGATCGGATGGGACGCACCAAAGACATACCAGCTTCATGACGTACCATCGGCTCCTGCGACAGATCCTCCAGGACGCTCGTTAAGATACCAATGGCAGCGGGATCCCGCATCTGGCCCAGGCAGTACGCGAGCTCGTGCTTCAGCAACGCCGACGGATCCTTAAAGCACGCGTGGATCTGGCCTATCGCCGTCGCGCCGCCGATGTTCTTCAGGGTGAACAGAGCGCGGAATCTCTCCTTGAGAGGCCTGGCGGAGTCGCCCAGGACTCCGCCTATAGCTAAGATGTCGCTTTCACTCGCTTGAACCATTTTTACGTGCAGCTCAAGTGTTAAAACCCTGATTGTAAAATCAGAGATAAAAGTCCGAGTATCGTGGGCCTGTAAATATACACAAGTTTGTGGTTTAAAAGTAACCGTTTAAACGTGCAAAGGAGGACACTTGAAGAATTTATAATCGCAGATTATCGCCAGACTTCTTACCGATTCAACGGGAATTTTCAGTCGGGTGTCTGTCAGTTTCGATGCGATCAAGATACAATTGACGGCTCCATCGCGGCTCAATGCGATAATTCTTTTAGGTTAGCGAGCCATGCTTATGTCCTGCCAATCTGAAACCACAGCATATGAAAGCAGTAGGTGTGCTCCGACTATTCACCATGGACACGGAGAGCATCGACCCCCCACCGATCTCTTCTCGACGAGTTTTAGAACACGTTCGGAGCAAACGATGCGGCGGCTCTACTGTTTATACAGTTCCGGAATGCGTGTCGCAGCTGATCGAGAATCGCGAATACGCCCGATACGGAGTTGTACTCGATCGGACCGGGGAGGCTTTCCTGACGACTTCTGAGCGCACGATACTCCATAACCATCCGAATGACTTGACAGCGTGTTAAAATTCTCGTGTCGCTAACCTTCCGACGTTGAAGCCTCATGTCAGAATATCGGCGCACCGACATGAGACTTGGCGCCGATGCGCGAGTAACCTAACCTAGTAACCTAACCTCTACAACAAAGTTGCACCGCATCTCTTATAGAGGCATGGAGCCGCGGAATATGAACGTCGCTTTAAGCGCGAGTACGATATTGAGAGCGTGTGCCTCGACGAGTAACGAAGGTATATGTAGTCCTACTGGTATGCTAGATCGCACCGAGATTAGATACTGGATGCCGCACCTTTGCTTCGAAGTGTCCTGACGATCTCTCCGCACGATCCCCGTCTAATGCCGTTGGCACAATTTACGCCGCCAAGTCCCCGAGGCGGAATGTATCGACGGCCGAGCGGAGAGGCTCGGCGACAAGCCGGAGCGGTAACTGCTATTAGAGCGGGTCGAGTCGCGATCGCGTTAATAACGGGTAACTTTGAATTTAGCCGAGAGATTGCGAAGCCTCCAGGACGACAAGCCCTCCAAGTTAACGATCGGGGCGTTTTTCGAGTTCATGAGAACCGCGTATCAGGTCAACGACAACTGCGAGGGCCTGGCGACGATACTGAGCGCCAACAGCGAGATCGACTGGCAGGAGCTGGCGAGGATCAACTTGGACCTGGAGACGGCCGGCGGTCCTCAAGAGCGGCGAGACAAGGGCGACGATTCTTCCACGCAGGCGTTGCTGACGCGGACGGCGAGTGGCAAGGAGGCGGGTTTGTGTGCTTCGGCGAGCGCGATTAGCTCGCAGTCCTCTGCGGTATCCTGCAACAGTAATATCTCTGACGCGTGCAATAAAAATGACTCCACGAGGGAGTCCGCCGGCGTGGAAAGGTCCTCCGATCAACGTCCGGGGGACGGTGTTAAAGAGACAAGTCAGTCGTCGAGCGACCAAGCCCAGAATGAAAAGGGCAGGGTGTCGCAGAAGGCGCATTTGGAGGAGAGCGAGCATGGCTTGGCGAGAGTCATGAAGGAAAATCTGAGGGATATCTTGCACGAGGGATTACTGGACTCCGTTTTGCCGTACATGCTCCCGAAGTCCGCCCTGTCGCAGCCGGTCATTAAGAAGTCCGCCGCTGCCGCGGATGCTAAGAAGGCCTCTTCCTTGAACAGCGTGATCGAAAGCAAGGCCTCGACTCATAAGGACAGGGACAAAGAGAAGAGTAAGACGAGCAAGAAATTGTCGGAGTAAGTGTTCTTCAGTGTCGCGTGAAGCTGAAAGTATCATTGAACGAATTCATTAACAAGTTAATAAAATTCGTATGGTCTAAATGTGCTAAACACAAATTCGAAGGAGTAAAGGACTAAGAGCCGTGACAGGGCGTTAGTGTCTAAATATTTCATTCTAAATTTATTGCGAAAAAATATCACCTCAGCCAGGGTTTGAACCTCCCTCTCGCTAGGCGGGCGTCACAACCAATTCGACTTTTGTTGATTCTTCGCATTATTCTTTACATTGAATTTAATGATCTCTCCGCAGCTGACATTACCCCTTTACTGTTTCGCAGGAGTGAGGTGGAGATTCACGTATGCGACGAGGACAAAAATATCAGGAAGAACTTTCGATGCCCGCAGAAGCTTCTCATACAGAAGATGTGTTACTTTGCTGACGTCACAGCGGGGCAGAAACTCGACGAGATAGACATATCGGTGCACTGCGACGTGGTGATTTTCGACTGGCTGATGAGATGGGTGAAGAAGGACATCATAAAGAAATCGGAGTGGCCGGTTTTGGAGGCGAACAATGTCGTCCCGATTATGGTGTCCGCTTGTTTTCTACAAATGGAACCGCTTTTGGACAATTGCCTGCAGTACTGTCACAACAATATGTCAGATATCTTGAAAACGTCAACGATCTTAACGTGTCTGGACGACAATCTTCTTACAAGGCACGTTTTATTATTGGCTTGGATTATACAGGGTGAGGAAAAAGTATGAAAACCCATACATTTTTCGAAAACTATGCATTTTAGAAACAAATGTTTGAGACAAAAGTTATACGGTTTCAAGGGGGGTATAAGATGGTGTCTTAATTTGACTTTGAACAGTTGCTTGAGGGTCCCGTGATGGTCAACTTGACTATTTTAAACGGAAACCTTCATTTCTTATATCATCTTTTTCTATTAATTAATTGCAACAACTTTTGTCTCAAACATTTGTTTCTAAAATACATAATTCTTGAAAAATCTAGGGGTTTCTTTACTTTTTCCTCACCCTGTATTTCATACATGTATTGTTGTCTCGAACACAGTAACGAGTGAATGTAGAGGAAAGTCCCCCATTATAAAATAGGCTCCTGCTACGAGATGGTGGAGTTTCTGCTAAATTACTAGGCGTCTGTTTAGTGGAAAATTGATTAGGTCGTGTGATCGTAGCAAAAAAAGATTTGTGATTGAATTTGGACGTTGAAAACCTGCTCTCTCCTATCAATCCTTTCCTGTTTTTATATTAGTGTTGACAATTATCCGTAGATTGGTCGAGTTGTATACTAACGAGGACGTTGAAATGCTAAAAGACAAGAAGGATAAAATTCAGAGTCGTCTGTTCTGTAAGTTAATCACGTCTCTAGTCGAGGCTGCTCCAGATAACAAAAGGGGACACTATAGTTCATTGGCTATGATGTTTAGATGTGGGAAATGTGGCAAGAATGTTATACAGTCGATTTCCGACTTTGTGCCTTGCATTCCGAGCGCAATGAGAATCGATAATAAGGGAGCTGTTCACAGCAAACATGTCAGGTATACGCCACGTACATAAATTTTTATTACATACAATATTACACGCACGAAGGATATCTAAAAGAATGACTTTGCAGAGATTTAACTTGGACGTTGAACGATTACATCGTCGCCTTGCGATCGGAGTTGCGCTCTTGGCGCAAAGTGTATTGGAGATTGTGGGGAGACTGCCATTTCTTGTTCTGTCGACAGTGCAACGTGTATTTCCCGATACATCAGATGGGTTGGTGCTGTTATCATCCGGAACCTGCGCAATTCTTCGTGAACGAGCAACAAAGGCCTATGCCCTTCCCGCTGGGAAGGTACCCGTGTTGCAGTCAATCTGCCTACAGATTTGAAGCTTTGCCAAATCAAGGTGGCTGCAGATATAAGGTTGGTTACCAACGTTACGTATCCTTTGTAATTATATTATCCAATACAATCTTTTTAAGCACGAATGAATGTAATATACGCTAAGATGTGTGGTGGAAATACAGCTTGTGAAAAGATTTTAATTTTCTTTCAGGAGCACGTACCAGATGTAAGGGGCGAGAAGGAATTGAGTGTGTTAAATATTCTGACGGCACACAAAGAAGTGATAACTTTGGAAGCACCCCAGCTCTTTTTCCCAGAAAAAATTACACGACTGGTGACACGCGATCCGTCTCTTCGCCCGGGCAAATTAGTGTGCAAGGATGCCATGTGGTGGAACGGCATAGAGCTCGTACCACAGAGACCGCGACTTGGTCTGCTTGGTAAATCGTCAACTTTTAACACTTTCCTCTTTGTATGTAAATGATAAAATTCTATAACGTAGAAGAAATTCTTTAAAAAAAAAAACAGGAAAGATCTGGGGAGGTTCGGGACTTCGCCGATTGCTCCAAGCGCAAGATTCACAAAAGTCCCTACAGAAGCTTTATCGGCGTATTTCCGTAACCACCGACGTTTCGTCTCCTACTTCCTCGATTACAGACGAGGACGACGAAGATGACGGCGGGACCGTGTACGAGGACAGCAGTGTGGACGACGAATCTTATTACAGCGAAGAATCCAATACATTATGCGCGCTGAAGCCGATAGTTAAAGCAAAACATCAGAATAGTCACAAGTAATAAATCGCGTTGATTAAATAGGAAGCTTCTCTGTAATGCAAAGTGTTTACATATGATTTATTTTTTACCGTTCAGGAGCAACGGCAGGTGCTGGAGCGGAAATTTGAATGTAAGACACAATCAAGACAATCAGAGAGATTTTGAGGAAAGAGCCGCGGCGCAAATGATAGCTCTTCTGACGAAGAGAACGGTCACGGAGAACTTGCTTTCGAAATTTAATAACAAGCAACACGGCAGTAAAACTAAGCAGCCTGTTGGTATGTTTCTCATGCACAATGTATTACGATTATATTATATAGCAAAGTAAAGAAGGAAGCATATAAAATAATAACACGCATCTGAAACAGGTGGAACGTATGTAAAACTAGAAGCAGAGTTTCGCGAACGATTGGCCCAGTCTTGTAAATACAAAAACCCTCTAGTAGGAAAGACTCGTATCAAATCAAATAAATCTTGATTTGTACGTAGACACGGTTGAAGATTCGTCTAAAGCACAATAATGTTGAACAAATTTTCTTGTGATTTTATACAGAAACAAAGAATATACTGCCGTAACTCTTGCGCATCAATTAATTAAACAAGAAATAGGGTAAGTAATTTTAACTTTTTTTTCAATTAGAATGCTTTATTACAAAATTGAATAAATGTTATAAAAAAAAAGTTGCATAGTTGATTTCTGTTCGTATTATATTACTTTGTATAAATTAATAAGGTCGATTTATCGACGATGTGTCATTTCGTAATAAAGAATTTGTACTTAAGGTTTATATTCTTGTTTATCCTTGAGAATTTGATGGGTCATGGTTATTCATCATATCACTTCTGTCTAACAATTTGTTCAGTTCCATCTCTGTGAAAACTGTAAAAACAAGTAAAACTAAGTTTACATACATCTATTATTTGAATAATGTGTGATGAGAAGAATTTACCTTCTTTTTCTGATGTAACAACTTTGTATTCCTTTGTATCAATCAGCTTCTTCATTTCGAGAATAGTAATTTTATTGAAACTTTCTGACATGACTATTTTTTCCAAAATACGTTTAGCTTCAGCTCGCTTCATAATCATTTCATCAATTGTCCCTTTAGTGCACAGTTTGTAGATAACTACGGGTCTTGTTTGGCCTATTCTATGACATCGAGCCATGGCTTGTATGTCTACTTGTGGATTCTGTAAAAGCAAGCAGGCAATAAAGCACAGACATCCATGAGTGTGGAAAAAAAGTATGGTAAATGCCTACTTTATTCAGTAAAGTAACGTACGTAAGCGAGAAAGATTTCGAGTATGGGTCTGAATAGCTCATTTGGAAGAGCATTCGGCAAGCGGAATGTCCCAGGTTCGAATCCTGGTCTAGTCCTAACTCGCCATTTTTCTCGCCGAAAATTAACAAGTGGCGCGTTTTAGTGCCTATCTACCCCGAAGGTACACCCCTATTTATTACTATGGAATACTAAATTAACTCACCCAATCACTGTCGTATATAATAACAGTATCTGCAGCCATTAAATTTAATCCGATTCCACCGGCTCTAATTGATATAAGAAACAGGAACATGTCCGGATCATTATTAAAAATACTAATATTTTTTTGTCTGTCTTCTATTTTAGTCATGCCGTCTAATCTCACGTAATTATGATCCCGTAACATGAGATAATCCTCGATCACATCCAATATCTTAGTCATCGTCGAAAACAATAATACTTTGTGACCCTGTTCCTTAAGCTTCGCCAGCATAGCATCCAATACTAAAAGTTTACCGGAGGACTTAATCAAATCAATGTCGATTTTCGGTAAACCGGTCGAGTCCCGCGGACAGTGAACCAAGTACGGGTGGTTCACGATCTTTTTATACATTACAGCTAGAAAATATAAAGTAACAAAATAATATATAACAATATATAAACCGTAGATAAAAATCAAGTGTATATAAATATTGCGTTAATGCAATAACACTTACCTCTATTGATAAACTGAATATTTATCAGAAAATCTCTGTTACGTTCCGTAACATCAGTATATTGTTTCCACTTTGATAAGTTCTCGTCTTTCGTATTTGCAACTTGTGACGAAATATTCTGTTTTTCAGTCTCCGATTCGTTTGCGATGGATCCGTACTTTCTTAATACGCACAGTCTTTTCGGTCTTTTACCATCAACAGTCGGAATAATCAGATCCGGTACCTCGATTTTGGTCAACATTTCATGATCAAAATTCAATACTGCCTTGTACAAATCGTACTGTATTTCCGTGAGCGGCGCATATACAACCAACTCTTTTTTAGGAGGAATCTCTAGACAAACGTCACTTTTTAATCGTCTTAACATATACGGTTTTACAATTTCACGTAACAACGTTAATACACGTTTGTCTTTTTCCTGCTTCAGAAGTTTTTCAGCGCTATCCTGCTGCTGAAGGTCTTTGACATCGACCCATGATTCAAACGTATCCAAATCATCAAAGATTTTTGGTAACAGAAAATTTAAAAGCGACCATAGCTCAGATAAATTATTTTGAAGTGGAGTTCCAGTTAGTATTAGTCTATTCGTGGATCGTAAATTTTTCAATAGTCTAAAAAAAGAAAACAAATACAATGATCTTAATTTTCAGTAATTTCAAAGTAATACAAAAGCTTAAATAATTGATAAAGCAACTTTCACATCTATCAACTGAAATATTTATTATTTTACTGAACTTGAAATCAAGTTTTGTAAAAATAATTTTTAAAATCATTGATTCGCTTTCGATTAATTGCAGTCAATTTGTAACAGCTACATACTTGAATAAATGACAATTATAATTTTTTATTCTTTGTCCTTCGTCCACTATGATGTATCTCCATTTTTGAGAGTGCAGGAAATTCTTTTCATGTAGACATACTTCATACGTAGCGATCATAACAGGCTGCATTTTGTGCCCTTCGACATACTTTGGCCAGTTAAATTTTTCGCGTATAGTCCTCCTCTCATCTATTGTGCCGTACAATAAAAGTACCGGTATCGCGGGAGCGAATCTTTCAAATTCTGCAAGCCAATTTGGTATAGTGGAGAGCGGTGCAATTATTAAATAGGGCCCTTGCTGTCTCTTCTCTACAAGATAACACAACAAGGCTATTATTTGTATCGTTTTCCCAAGTCCCATTTCGTCGGCCAAAATTCCACTCAGGTCGTTCTCATAAAGCCCCATCAACCATTCTAAACCCGTGTGTTGGTAATCGCGTAGCTCGCCACAAAAATACCGCGGTGTAACAGCGGTGCTGCCGGCAGCTGGCTTCGGATCCGCTTCGACGTCCGAGTCCGCGGACAATTCCGCCTCTACCTCTTCTACACTGAGCTTCGTTTTTCTCTTTGCGATCTTTTCCTGTTCCTTTATCTGTAAAAAAAGTTCGTCGACCTTAAACTATTTTTACAATCAAGTGATAATTATCGAAAAGTCTAAATCTCGTTTCTCACCTCTGTAGACATGTACTCTTGTACATTATACTTTTTTACATTGGCTTTACGTAGAGCTCTCTTCTTAGCCGGCGGTACATTTTCATCGTTAACAGGACAGTTTGTCTTGTTTGCGTCCCTTTTCTTCTCACCTTCATCTTTAATCTTATTAGTCTTATTTTTCGAATAGGACGAATTTTTGCTCTTGTTCAATAAGCGCTTCAATCGCTCGTATCTCTGCTCCTGTGCTTCATGATCATACTCATTATCATACTCTTCTCTCAGTTTTTTACGCCCACGATTACTTTTAGCTTTTTTTGACTCCTGTTCCAGTGGATTGTTATTAAACTTGACATCACTGGCGAGTGGCAAAATATCTTACGAGAGAAAACAAAATATCTTAGACAACATGTTGCTGAGGTATACCTGTATCAATATATCTTAGAAAGAGAAAACAAAGCCAACCGTTTTTTTTAATGCTGAATAGAAAACAAATATTACATATTGCTTATGGGTAGAGGAAAATCCTCTATTACGAGATAAGTTTCTAATATGAAATAGCAGGTTTTCAACACCCAAATTCAATTGCAAATCTTTTTTCGCAACGATTACACAATCTAACAATGAATTTTCCACTGAACAGATTTTACTCCAAGGGCAATAAATTCATGGTGGAATCAACTGATAATACCTATTAGTTTAACAGAAATCCCGCTATCCCATATTAAGATTCTATCTGGTCCAAAAGCCACCTGGAATGTCAGACTAATTCTTTATCAACATTTATTATGCAGGCTACATAATTGCACATAAAAATATGTTTCCAATAACTTTCCTTCCTTCTTTAGAAAATACGTTGCAGAACTCGAGTCAGCGCAAATAAATAAAAGGGCGGTTAAAAAGATGTTTAAAGATCTTGGCGATTTCAATAAGCATTGAAATAAGTAATAACTTTTATCTCACTCTTACATAAATAACGTACATTTCGTGTTTTATTATTTGCCCATGCGACTGAAAAGAGAAGAATTTACCTCCGAGGGCGGATGAATAACTCCCGAGTTCGACATTCGGGTCAATCGTATTTGCGTTATCGTCGGCAGATCGGTCCATGGTCACAGTACGAGCGAAGTGAAACGGATCTGCCAGGGTCTCTCAAGAGTCTCGTCTCGTGACAGAAATCTTCGTACGTTTTATGCGAGAACAACAAGCGCACACCGGACTTCTCCTCCCGCCTTTCTAAGGCCCGGTTTCACCAACGCGAGTTAATCTAATCGGTCGGTTAACTTGACAGGGTGCCAACATAAAACTTCTTTATTAACCAAGAAAATAGGTTAATAAAGAAGTTTTATGTTGGCACCCTGTCAAGTTAACCGACCGATTAGATTAACTCGCGTTGGTGAAACCGGGCCTAAATTCGTTCCAACCGGCTCTAGTGCCTCTAGTTCCACACGGCACGGAACTAGATCACACGGTACGGGAATGTCGGGAATCAGCCTGCGGGACAGAGGATTCGTGATTCAAACACCCAATCAGCGCGGGATAAAGAAATGACGAAGAGCACTGATTGGCTGTTCGAATCACGTATCCTCTGTCCCGCACGCAGATTCCCGTACCGTGTGATTTTACCCTTAGGGTTAAGGCCTGTGTCCACGATACTAGAACTTGGATCAAGTTTAAAGCCCGCTGCAGACGATGCTATTTTTCCTGCTGGATTGCTTGCGATTTACTAAATTACTAGGAATCCTGAGTGCTGAATGGTGCAACGATAGTAATTTATTAGATTGCAAGCAATCCAGCAGGAAAAATAGCATCGTCTGCAGCGGGCTTTAGTTCCACTGCTTTCGTGAGAAAATCAAAATGATCCACATTAAAACGACCATGTGCTGTGATTGGTCAAATCTGAAATTTCATTGCATCTCATTGAAATTTTATCCAATGAAATTCCAAATTTGACCAATCATATAGCACACGGTCATTTTAATCCGAATCATTTTAATTTTCTCGCGAAAGCAGCCAGACTTCATGGTCCGCCCCGAAAACCCTCGGCGCTTCGCACGGCGGCCGCGCGAGGGACGTGCGTGGCGCTAGCACGGTTCCCGCGGATTTTGGAACGCACGGAATGACGTAACATCGTCCGATCGGCGGCGGCGGCGCGGATTGGCCGCGCGACGGTCGTACGATCGTTCGTAATTTTTCCGTCGTACTACGTTTGACGTATCGCTGGACCGCGGCGTGTTTTCCCCGCGATACCGACCAAGTTTTCGCGCGACGTCAACGGAGAGCGACCTTCGGGATTCGAGCGACGGCGATGGCAGACCCGGGCGGCTGGGCGCCGACCCAGGACAATGACTTCCCGAGTTTCCAATCGAATGACAGCTTCAATTTGAATGAAGTCACTGGCATCGATGGTAGGTCCTGCTTTTTCTCGAGCGCGGTGTTTATGCCCGCGCGTGTCTCGAGAAGCTAACGCGATGCGTTATCGCCAGGTTCTTATTGTCTCGAATCTTGTTGAAGACGTAAACATCTCTCTCTGTCTCTTATCTGGTTCTTATCACTGGATGCATCTGTACGGAGCCGATGCGAAGATCGCGCGGTGTCGCCGATCGCTTCAGGCGACTTCCGTCGCTCTAAATAATATTATTCATTTGACATTTCTGGTTTGGATAATATTTTTACGATTGTATGAAAGTAGTCCAAGTTGAAAGTATATTTGAGAGAAATTTCTCTAGGTTTTTGTCTGAGATACTGGACGTCGAAGATTTTACTATCGAAAAATTACAGTAGCTGATTGTTGCAGATCTTCTTACGAATTGCGAGAACGAGCTGCTGAAGAACGGGCTCTTCAGCGACGAAGCCCTGCTCTCCGAGCTGGAGGAGCCCGTGTCGATGGATGGAGACACGTTTGACTTTCTGAGTCTCAACAATGACGAGTTCAAGGAATTCAAGGATCCGACGATCCTCGAGCCGTCGAGTGCGAATGTTATGGTGACCCAGCAGGCGGACGGCGGGCAGCCGGTCGCCTACGTGCAGCAGGACGTTGCGTCGGTGCCGCAGAACAGGCCGCAGAGAATAGTGGCCACCTCGGCCAATCCTACGGTGTTCAGTTCGCAGTACGCGATACCGCAAAACGTCAACTTCAACGTGCAGTCGTCGAACGTCGTGACCCTGGCACCGGTCGCTCAACAGCGACAGCTGCTTTTGCCGGCCAAACTGATCAAGTCGGAGTCCCTCGTGTATTCGAAGGGCGGACAGACCATCACGTCAACCCCCGTTCAGCATCAGATACACACCCTCGTGAATACCACAAGCGGGACGGTACTGACCACTGGTAAATAAAGAAAGCAGTAGTTATCTACGACGTTATAATATTTATCCAAGAACGAACGGTTGCTGAGCAGGAATGCGATTGCAGATTTGTAACATACGTTAATATGATTCTGTCTGATTCAAGGAATCCCCGTAGTGCTGGATACTGACAAGGTACAAATCAATCGGCTCAACACGGGCACGCATGTGGGTGTACCGAGGGTGAGGGAGGTGAAGCGCAGCGCCCACAACGCTATCGAGCGTCGTTACAGGACGTCGATCAACGACAAGATAATCGAACTGAAGAACATTATAGTCGGGATGGACGCCAAGCTGAACAAGTCGGCAATCTTGCGAAAAACCATCGACTACATTAGGCAAGGACGACGAGGAGTAATTTTACGTGAACGCGAATACGATATGAGAGTGTAATGCGGTTGTTGCGCGAGTCATACGAGGTCTGTTCGCGTCGCATGCCCGGCAAGCTTCTATTTGCCCCAACGATCAATACTGTCATTTTATTTACGATTTGAGTGACTATCTGTTGGGACAAGCAGGAGCATATTGGGACCTACAGCGAATTTGGTTGCTCGCACTAGTGCACACTGAGTGCGCACTAAGCTTGTTTGCCAGATACGGTCAACCAAATTTGATGTTAATTATTGTTGTTATATATTTGATTTTATTTTAAATACCTGTTCAAAAAGTATTTAGCCAAAAAAAAATATCCATACGAATTCTGTACAGATTATTTTACTAGCTAAGAAATATTTCGTGAGATATTCAAGACGATTCTTTAACATAAGAATTGGCTGCAAACAAGCTTTTGTGTGCACTCGGTGCAAATTACCGAATTCGCTAATACAGTCAGATACGTCTGATTTTACATAGTTGTAGTGTCGATGAGAGACAAAACTTGTAATTGCTTGGCGCGACGCAGGTTCCTGCAAAACACGAATGCGAAACTGAAGGCGGAGAACATGGCGCTGAAGGTGGCCGCGCAGCGGCAAAACCTTCGCGATTTTTTGGTGTGTGGACAGCTGACGCCTCCGCGCTCCGATTCGAGCGAGCCGTCCCTGTCGCCCGCACCCGCGCCGCTGTCACCGCCGTCTCCGTCGTCGGTGAAGGACGACTCCGATATGCTGCACAATCTGCACCCCGTGCCCACCTCGTCCAACGGAGGCATACGAGATCACACTCGGCTGACGTTGTGCGGATTCATGCTATTGTTTTTGGCCTTCAACCCCCTTGGCATTCTCGTGAACAACATTGGAAGATTCAATTACGATTACGTGAATACGAAACTGGACGGACGGACGATACTCAATTATCAAGGTGACGAGTGCAAGTGGGTTTCTTCATGATTAAAAAAAAAGTTCTCTTTCGCTAATCTTTCCCTCTTTTCGATCGCAGATCAGCTGGAATCCGACAGGCAACCGTGGAGCAGCGCTATTCTCTGGGTCACCAACCTGATACTCTTGGCAGTTGGTTTTTATAAGCTGTTGCTGTACGGCGACCCCGCTTTGCCTACCGACAGCAAGGTCTTCCTCGAGATACGTCGTTGGCGACGGCAGGCCGAGTTCAATATATCCAAACACGAGTGCAACCAGGCGTACCGGGACTTACACCAGTGCCTGCAGTACTTCGGCCGGTCCTTCCCGCTGTCGCGTACGGAGATCTTTCTCGCGACCACGTGGCAGATAGTGCGGCAGGTTCTTCATAAGTTATGGCTGGGTAGATGGGTCATGCAGTTCAGCAAGTGGCTGTTGGAGAAGTCGGAGCGGCAGCAGGCGGAGACGTCCGCCGTGGAGATCGCCACCGTTTACCAGCACATGCTCTGCCTGCGCATGTCCGAGGGGACCAAGGACTCGACGCTGTATCTCGCCCTTTGCGCCGTCAATTATGCGGAGGCCGCCGGCGAGAGTATGCCGAAGCCGCTTCTGGCCGAGATCTACACGAACGTCGCGCTGTGCCTGAAACAGTCCCTCTTCCCGTACATACACAAATACTATCTAGGCAAGGCGCGCGTCCTGCTGTCCTCCTGCGCTGTTCCCCTCAAGCTCAAGTGGATCATGACTGACGAGGGCGCGAGATTCTTGGCGTCTCAGAAGTGGCAGTACAAGAAACAGACCGACAGCGAATTCACGTCGCAGAGCAGCCGCGCGGATCCGCTCTCGTACGCGGCCCGTGCATACAGGGACCACTTGATCGAGCAGTGCCTACGTTTACTGACGGTCGGCGAGTGTCACGCGTCCACCGTGCTCGAATTGGGACGGATCATCATGGCCTCCGCGGAGGTGGACGCCTGTTTCCCGTGCGCCGACAAAATCAGCGTAGCGAGTACGAAACGACTATCTGAAATCGCGAGAAAAAGATATCTCGCGCATTAGGGAGATCCGAAAGCCTGTAGTACTATTTTGTGCGAGCGCGAAAACTATGTTTGACCGCCGCGTCGATGATACAGACGGCTTTAGGATGCCTTTAATGTATCTTCAATTGTGTATTGCACACTGTAATTGCGCGCGACGTATCTTACTCTTTTACGTTTACTCTTGCAGCCTGCGAAGACGAGATTGGGCTATGGTGGGGAGCGGTAATTTGCGCTGCAGCGAGTTGGCGATTGGGGGAAGAAGATTCCAAGGCGTGGAGCGTCGTTGAGAGCAGATTCCCGTACGAGAGAAACTTCCAAATTGGCGACAACAGCAGCAGCAGCAGCCCGTTACCCCACGCGGTGCTCAGTGTTCTCCAGGTGGCGAAGAATCCCACGAAATTGGTCTCCATGCGTTTCATCGATCAGGCGGGGCTGCTGCTCGAGCAGTCCACGGTGTACTATCATTGCAAGGAGCAATCGTCGCAGCAGGTCTTGGTAAGTTGGCAGAATGAGATCTTAATCGGCGGGCAGTCGCATCGCAACGTAGTTTGATCTCCCTAAACATGATATCACGAGTGATTAGCAATGGTAGGGTTCTCGGTTCGATCTCGGCCCTCGGCCCGTATATTTTCCCGTTAAGAGAAATTTCAAAAGTTCAGCGCTTGAAGGAGTTTAAGCGCCTTAAGTGTTGGATTCAGTGTTTAATGAAGTTCAAGCATGAATTCCAAGGAATTTTTAGAAATATCACGCTGATACAACCTAACGGTTGAAAGGCGTCCCCGCAAGAGGGTAAAACTTAAAAAAAAAAATTTTCTCAAGCGTAAACCGTGCTACCGTTTACCTGTTACAAGTGTGCATTGTAGTTGCATTGCATGAAATATAACTATGCAATACTCCTGCAGTGCAACTCCTGTGGCAGGCCACAGCGCCATTTGTATACATGTATACGTAATAGTTTTATATTGCTTGAGCGCCACGTGCTCGCCTCGTCTTCTAATTCGTCCCGCTTATCTTTCAGCTCACTCAGTTGCTAGTTTGCGACTGGCTTCTCGAGATTCGCACGATTCTCTGGCAGGAGTTGGACACGGAGCCGGAGAGATCGGCCGCGAGCGTAACTTCTCTCGCTGGCTTTCAGCGCGATTTGGCGTGCTTGAGACAATTGTGTCAGCACATTCCGGTAAGCGCAACTTCCGTTTCGGTTCAATAAAGCCCGAGCTGAGACGCAACAGAATTTTACCGCGTACGTAACTTTTTATCCAAGACGCGTGTAACGTTACCCACCTTTCTTTCAGTCTGTACTGGCGAGAGTGTTTCTGTACGAGGCTACGGCGCGCATGATGGCCGGCGCAACGCCGGTGAAGACTCAGATCTTGCTGGATCGTAGTTTGCACAACAGGAACTCGCGCTCCTCGATCATATGCGGGAAGGACCGGTCGCAGGAGCAGAACAACAGCGAGAGGGAGCACGCGGTCGCGTTGTGTCTGGCGTGCAGGCATCTGCCGACGTTGCTGTTGGCCTCGCCGGGAGAACGCGCCGGCATGCTCGCGGAGGCCGCCAAGACGCTCGAGCGAATAGGGGACAGGAAACGTCTTCAGGAATGCTACAAACTGATGCGGCAATTGGGCTCCGCGATCACCGTCAATTAGACGTGATTGTCGGTGGGCTTGATTTTTTTAAAAATATTTTTGCATCCCCATTGTACGCGTTGCGTATACCTAAAATTATATGTATTCATTTAGTGGTCTGGTTTGGACAACTCTCGGCCTGATTTAACGATCCCCAGGGCTACGTTCGGAAACATCACCCACATTTAGACCATTTACACCAGGAAATATATATGTAGTTTACATTGTACGTTTTCTAATGTTTAAATGTACTCGCGTGACATTTCCGAGCACGGTCCAGAAGGATCGTATCTTCTGTCAAAATTGTTAAAAAAATTTTTTTCTCTATTATGTATTTATGACACACTGCACGTTTCAGAGGCATTGTCGCACCACATTTAATTATGTGCGAGAACCTGTGATGTGCACGACAAGGATGATCGGATTGTGAATACGAAAGCGATAATCGACAAGAAAATCATACCCAAAGTTACACTTAAATTTGACATCATTGTAACCACTGTATATATTTAACTTATACTTGGTTTGTAAGTAGCATCTAACTTATGCAATACGATTATTGAGCGTTTTTCTTTAGTAATCATTTTCTCGTACTTGTGTTGCACGGATTAATTTTTTTAATTATAATTTTACTCCAAGGTTACTTAAGAAAGCACCTTATTTACAGACTGTTTAATATATATATATATACCTAATTATAATTTGAAATAATTACCACTCCTAATTATATAAGTAGAATAATTTACTTACATATTTTTATGATAAAATAAGTGTCGTGTAAAGACATGTTGAAGTTAATTGACCTTAAAAATGGCTAGTAATTTCAGGGTTACAATTATCCCGTACCTTTTCACCCAAAAATCAGTTCTTTAAACAATTTCGAATTGTGACAAATTTAAAATTTACTACGGTAGGCTCCTAGTATGAGATAGTAGGGTTCGCCTGACTCCAGAGGGAGCCAGCACGGCCACACGCCGGTTCTATCCAATTGGCTGGTGTCACGATGACGTCACGCGCGTTCCGAAACGTCGCTTCCGCGGCACGTCGCTCTAGAGTGCTCCTTCTTTCGCGGTGACGGCGGCGGACGTGAGTTTTCTGTGCGCGTAAGTTAGCATTTTGGAGATAATTTTGCACATTTCGGGTCGAATTTGGCAGATCCTTCCTCCGTGTACGTCGAGATTGGATACCACGCTATCGTTTGTCGCTCCCAGCTCGGCTGAGGAGCGCGAAACGCCGGATTTCGCCCGGTCGATCCTTGCTCGAGCGCCGAGCCACGTGCCATCTCGCGCGTTGCACGTTGCGCACGGAGGTTCCTCCAACGACGTTTTCCGACCATAAACCGCGTGAATTGTCACGCGCGGCGCGATATGTAACGTCTATCGTTAGATATTTGCGAGAAATTACCGAGACATTTAGGTTAGATTAGGTTAGGTTGGATTGTCGTACGGTGTGGGATTCGCCGAGACATACGAAGTGTCGCGGACGTTTGTCACGTCGAGAAGATGTAACTTTCTGTCTCGCAGTCTTAATTTACGACGATAATATTCATCCAATTGTACTCGGAGCAAGTTCGATCGATCGGCCGATTCTCCTGGAACCGAGGCCACAAGTCTCAAGCCTGTATCAGACTACGGATTGAGATTAGAATGAAATTTGATCAATTAGAGTAAAAGTTACAGAACTTGAGATTAGTAAACTTTACTGCGATTGCCAAGTTTCAATCTAATCCCAATCTCAATCCGTAGTCTGATAAGGGCTTAAAGGATCGTCTACAATAGATGAAGTAAGCCTGGCGTGAGAAGTAGGAGTTGGTGTAAAGAAATGAGTAATTTCCATCTCTTACTCCTACTTGAGCTCTGACGCTTACTCTCGGCGAGTTAGAGCCTGTGTCCACGATGCTGGAACTTGATCCAAGTTCTAGTCCCGAGAAATGTGTAGTCAATCAACTTGCAGCTTTTATGGAATAGCTGCAACTTGATTGGCTACACATTTCTCGAAACTAGAACTTGGACCAAGTTCTAGCAACGTGGACACACACCTTTACAAATATTTTAACAATTATGCTTGTGTTTTAGCTTCCTTACACCGAAAGCTAAAGCTTATGGTTCTTTCTTACTTCACACACCAGGCTTGCTCCAAGCATTGTAGACTACGCGTTATTTAGGCCCGGTCTACAATGAGTTGTTAGAAGTCAGGGACTCTTATGTCAAGTCCTTTCTCTTTCACCCAGAAAGTTCTGACTTCTGACCAACGACTAACGGACTCATTGTCCAGCGGGCTTTACAGTTCTACCTCGGCAATTGCACGTATGGTATTAATCTTGTCTTCATTTGCAGACTAACGCATCGCCATGACCAACTCGAAGGGTTACAGACGCGGCACGAGGGACTTGTTCTCGCGCAAGTTCCGCAAGCATGGCACCATCCCGCTGTCCACGTATATGAAGACGTACAAGGTCGGCGACATCGTCGACATCAAGGGAAACGGCGCTGTGCAGAAGGGCATGCCGTACAAGGTTTACCACGGCAAGACCGGCCGCGTGTTCAACGTGACGGCGCACGCCCTGGGCGTGATCGTCAACAAGCGGGTGCGTGGACGCATCATCGCCAAGAGGATCAACGTGCGCATCGAGCACCTGAGCCACTCCAAGTGCCGGGATGACTTCCTTAAGCGCGTCAAGGAGAACGAGAGGCTCAGGAAGGAGGCGAAGCAGACGAACGTTCGCGTTCAGCTCAAGAGACAGCCGGCCGAACCCTCCAAGGCTCACATCGTGTCCGGACGAGAAGCGCCCATCTTACTCGCGCCTGTTCCATATGAATTTATCGCTTAAGATATTAAATAAACTAAAATTTTCGACGTAGGGGCCTGCGTTGTTATTCTCGATGTTGCTGTCGCGTAACACGGTTTCACGGTGGTTTAGCTGAGTCTAGAACTGACGTTACGTTTCTAAGAACGCCATTAGGAAAGAGTATTTTGTTGAGAGAAGACTTTATCCCGTGCCGTAAGCGCATCGTTGCGCTGAAAGTGGTAAATGAGCGAAAAGCCGCAACTCTCATAACAATAGTTTTATTCTCAGTCATCTTTACATTTGTATAGAATCTGATAGTGCTTCCAACGTTTCTCTTTATATCAATGGACACGTAAGTTACTGTAATAACGTAAATTACTCGTTCTCTTCTCGAAAGGCGGACTAGCTTTTGAACATAAATAAATATAAAGCGTTACGTCGCGCAAACCGTTTTCAATTCTCCCTCAGACGGCCGCTGGTTTATATGTACAAACCAAAAGTTCTAATAATTTCGATGATTTACGGAACTACATTTCGCGCTGCTCTCTCTATGTATATCCTACCGAGCCAAAACGTTACCGAACGTCATATCATTCTCGTGTATATAAATAATCTGACAAACCCCATTAGAACATTCAAAAATTCACATGCACTGCGCGCTCTGTTAAAATACGAAATTAGCGTATAGGAGTGCTTAACTTCAATTGCTATTCATATTAAACTTTAACTACAATCTCGCGATTGATAGAACAGGATATAACCAGTTTCAGAGCTCTTCTGAATATCCGACGTGAGTCCATAAAAATCTTCTATAGTTGACGCATCAATTTTCTAGGGGCATAAAGACACTCGTTAATACCCTGCGTAACGTACGTTTCGCAAAACGTTCATACCGCGAGGCGGTAGCACTTACATCGACCATATCGTCGTCAAAGAGCAACCAGAATCCATGACTTTTAACTATAGAAATGTAATGCCCTCGGTTAGGCCCACTTCCGCAATGTATCACAACTGCCACCAGATCATACAACCGATCTGGGTTTACAGCATCATCACTCTGTAATCAAAATAATCGTGCGTTCAGACGCGTGATTACGATCGTCTAAAGTGAAATGCGTATCCGAGACTCGTCACACGTTCACGAGTAATATCCGTGAGTACTAACAGTGTTGAAAAGTCTGAGCTCCAATGGGAAAACTACTCTGTGAGATACTTTTATGTGGCGATTGTACTGTTCCATATATTTGAATCTCTTTAGGTGCAACGCTAGTATCATAGGTAGTTTCTTCACCCTCATTCGTTTCTGTAAAATGGAGAAACGGTGATATTTCGACAAATCGATTCGCGCGATTCGTAAGATGCGCCGAGTCATCGATATACCTGAGCCTCCTGGTAACTGCTGCAGTGATCGCACTTGAATTTGTTGTCGCTACACAGGGTCTCGGTATTGGAGAAGCATCTGAGGCAGTGTGTGATTGAAGTATTCTGATCTACGTCAACTTGCAGATCGAAGAAGTCCTCGTCTTTGCTAGAGACAGTCTCACAGTTAAGGCAGCGTGTTTCCGACGTCAGTATCCCCTGGAATATCTCGTGAACCCACGTGGGCTCCGGTGGCGAACCCGCAGCATCCCCTGCCCCACACTTCCCTCCAGTCGGCTTGCTCTGAGTCCTCTCCGCTGACGCGACGAAATCACGAATGGTAAATATGATGTCAAGCTGGGTATACATTTACGAAACCAACGCCGAACGCGAACGTTTGATGTTATAATTCGGCCGATGTATATGCGTAAAGTAAATGCGAGCAGGACGTTCGATTCGCGTTCGGCTCGATTCCCTCGTGAGGCGGTACATCAAAGATAAAAGGAACACGCGCGAATCTCTGAACGTTCGCGTTCTTTGTTCGTAAATGTATAGCCTTTACGTGCGCTACCGAGAGCGAACAAGCACTCACCCAGAATGATTTCATTTATGTGATTTATAAGGAAGTTTAAGAACTCGTGCGCGTCCTGTTGCATGTAATTATCAAATTCCTCTGAAAAGAGAGGAAGATATTGGCGGTTAACGACGACGTTGCTGTAAAAATATAAATGCGAGCCTGTCGTAGCACCAACCTTTCTCTTTCCTCAATCGGGCGATGAACTTTTTCGGCGCTATGGAACCTACTTTTTTCTTTTGGGTTGCAATACTGTAAAATAGGTCTGCGAGGCATGTTAGCAGGGTCTCCTTGGTTCGCTTATTTCTGGCTTTGTACTCCAGGACCTTCTCTCTGAACGGTCGACAAAAATATAGTGCCTGCAGCACTGAGTTGCTGTAACAGGTGTTACCGAACTGCAAGAACACATTTCTTATTGTACAAGTGCACGTCCAAGAACTGTTTAGTCAAGAAACAATCCGTACGAATGCTCTAGATTATTTTACTGGCTAAGAAGTGCTTCAAAAGCTGCCGAATTCGCTACAAGTTGATTTCAGCCAATGCAGAATCACACTTACGTTAACTAAACCAAAGTAGTGTTCGTTAGGCGGAAACTGATCGGAGCCAATATCTTTTTCCAATTGCGATATGGTTGTACCCTGGAATTGTAAAGAGGAGCGTCACACACATCACAAGACGATTCTTTGATACGTCATAACGGCGTTACATAATGTCAAGCGCGCTTGCATAGACGAGCGACCGCGAGGCAAGATAATAATTTCATTGTCAGAAAATTAAAGTGCGTGAGGAATCCGGGCGGGAGACTCGACGCCAGTGCAACTGTAACATTTCTACGCGCAATCACGTCGCTTCGAACGCTACGATACAGCTACTGAAAAATCGCACCGAGGAGATTCGTGCGCGAAACACCCGAGGCGACGGATGGTGTGTCGCCGACGCTGTCTTGATCGCCGCGGCTCGCGGGAGCCACGTGGAGCAACGCGTACGTCCTCGCGGCGGCGACGACGTCGTCGTCGTCGTCTCGTGACCGTCTCATTTCGCGGCGGGGACCGTGAGAGGCGCAGTTGCACGGCCGTCATCCCCGCTCGTCATCTCCGTCCTCCCGGCGAGGATCACTTTTCTCGGGGGGACGGGGAGAGGCGGGTGGGGTCTTACCATTTTATGACACGGTGACGCGAGCGTGACACTGGCAAGCACTTGGCGCGGACTTCAGCGACGGCGTAAGCTCCATCGTACTGCGACGGACGTTGACCGGCGGGATCTGTCGGCTAGAGCATCTCCGTCGGGGCGGGAGGGCAGCGGGCAGGGGGAGGGGGGGAGAGGGAGGTGGAACCGCTGTCGTTGCGCGCTGCAACAACGGCGCCGCTTCCTGGCGCCGTCTTCCACGTGTCGTTCGCGTCCGCGCGCACGGCGATCCCGCACGTTACGCCCGGACGGGTTTTCGCAGATCGGGATGGAAGGGTGGACAGGTCGAACGCCCGGCCCGAGGCTCGTCGAACCTGCGCGCGCCCGATACTCGCGATCAAGTCAGCCGGAACGTACCACCGATTCCGTTCCGTTCCGTCGCGCCGTATCGCGTTCTCCGCGAGCGATCAAAGCCAGCGAGCTCTATATATCATATTGGAGCGAGCGACCATAGACGTAGGGATACCTGGATGGAGCACAGCGCCGCGGTGGTGGTCCGCAAGGGCGAGGGGAATTAAATGTCTATTGCAACGGACAGGTGGTACCAAGATGGCGACACTCGATAGTGTCACGGAATGTCTATTTTCACGCCTTGAAAAGAATAAAGCCTCCGCTACAATGATTCTCGGTTCTGTCTACAATGGTCGTAGTCGTAGTCGCTCGGTAAGAATAAAGCCTCCGCTACAATGATTCTCGGTTCTGTCTACAATGGTCGTAGTCGTAAGAATAATCGACTGCGATTGGTCAATTTCGTCAGACACATAAAGGCCTTCACACATAAAATTCTGTAAGGACGTAAAACCAGAGAGAAGCCTGAGAGATGTCACGGCCCCGTTTTTCGTGATACGCGAATGCGATACGCCCTCTGTGGACATTGAAAACGTGGACATTGAACTACGTAGCCAATTTGCACATTTTGCTAAGTGGGTAACGCAGATTTGCACAATTTTAGCCCCGTCCCGCGCTATGGTTAGATCCCATGCAATGATCTTGTATGTACTTAAGGGGATGCTGGAG